TATATATACATATTTATTATTGTATTATTATTGTTAATATATAAATATATTGTTATATATTGTAAAATATACAAATAGTAGATAAATATGAATAAAATTTATAATAGAATATAATAAAACAAACGAATAAAATACAAAAATATAATATTTAATATATTAATATATTATTATATACTATAGATAATATAATACGATAATACATATGATAATAAATATAAATAAAATATAATGAAATAAATAAAATAAACATAAAATACAAAAATGTATGAGAATCAGCCATCGAATGAAGAACGAACATGTTAGAGTCTCAAATTTAGATTGAAAAATACTTAAGAATCGCACGTTTTACTTCTCCTTTTAATATTCCACTGTTTCGTCAAATAATTTCACGCTATCCTCGATATATCGTTATCATTACATTAACGACTGGCCAGTGTAATCATTTATTATTTATTTAAATAAATTATTTATTAGAATTAAAATATTCGCGTTCTATATGTAATAGCACAATTGAATACTTCGCCGTTCAATATTTTACCCTAGCGTTACAGCTAGGTTTAATTTAAACGTAATTCGCTGACAACATAATTTCATGGTAATTCTATTCCCGTAATCCGCGGTAATATCTAAAGTATAACAGAATTCAATAATGCATCTCGTTGTTAAAATATTCTATATACCAGAACTATGGCTATTACACTTCAATATTGCAACACAGTGAAAAAGCTTTCAACGTTGAGTCCAAATGTTGAATACATTTCCCTTCACAGTTTTTCTTTATTGCGCGATACGCGTGTGTTACAGTCTTGCCTTTCGCTCTCCCCCTGTGTTTCAGCCTTTTATCCCGTCTGTGTCTCCATTTTCACATCCGTTTCTCCGTGATCTTTTACCAAACGAAAACAGAATGAATAATGGAAAACGTTTTTCGAAACAAGAGAATTTCGATCGTTCGTTGTTTGCTTGAGGAGGAAGGGCACGAACAGATGTTGAGCGCGTCACTGCGAAACGTCAGATTAGCCCTTTAATCTCGCGTCACGATTTAAATTACTCTCGCGTAGGTGTCTGTTTAATGCGAATTTACGACAGTGAAACGTCGCAATTTCGTTTAACCGAATGTCACGTGTGTCGATGTGACTGACGAAAAAGACAGCTTAAAGTCGGTAACGCGCAACGTTTCGCGGGTAATGCTAATCGCGAGTCACAGCAATCTAAACTTGATTTAACATATAGAAATACAGGGTGTCTGTAAAGTCTCTTTACAATTTCAAAAATTTATTACAAAGGCAAGTGAAAAGACAGACAAATGGAAATTATTACAAAATGAGACGTATACATTTAAGTTTTTTTCTTTGCCTCATTTAATACACCTCTATATCTGTTAGTTGCACGAAGCACAAGACGATAATCAGTTTTCAACCATTATATGAATACATATATAATATAGCATATAAGAAAAATGTAATATAATAAAGTACAGTATAATATTAGTATAATATAATATAATATTAAATATAATAAAAAAATTATTGGAACGAGAGCTCGCAAAAACAGTGCACTTTGAGAACACAAATTATTTGAAACGGTGCATTGTGCACGAATGAGAAAAAGTAGGATAAAAAAAGATTCAAAAAGCTACTTAATCCTTATCAAAATAAATGACAACGTTTGTAAAGGATGAAGGAAACTATACGAAATATTAACGTGACAATATTTTATAAATGTGAGGAAATTTTCATTTTTTTTATACAGCATTTTTCTCATCGTTTTATCTGATTGAATTTCTGCTACATTTGTATCTTTGGAAGAAAAAATATTTATTTTCACTTCAAAATTATATTACAGTGCCTGAAACACTAGTCATTGCATTAATGAAATATATTTTTGTTAATGTATTGTAAGTATATTGATATCTGAAAAAATAGTGCAATTATAAAATGTTAGTGTAATAGTATAAAATACGTTATGACAAAAAATATAATTGTGATACAGATCATTCGTTTCTTTTTCCTCTAAAAATTTTTTAAATTTCAATCAGCAAAGTGAACTTTTATCAAGAACTTGTTGCAATTGCACAAATCATTCTCTAGAGTCTTATGAAAGTCTTTCCCGAAGGCAAGAGTTGAAGCATAATTTTTGGAAGCAAAGTGTAACAATTGAACAATTGATAGAGCGCATTTTAAATTTTCATTCGTCGTCAGTCAGCTTTCTATTGTAAAGATAACAAACGATCGTCAACTTTCATGTGAACGTTCATGTAAATATTACAGAAAAAGTGTTTCAGTATCGTTGAATAGAACAAATGGATAAATGTATTTTTGTTTCATACAGTATACTAAACGTTGAAATTTTTCATAAATGTATGAATACTCCACGAGTTCATATCTATTGCAGTAGACTCTAAAACATTCAATTTTCAATTCCCTATTTCCGATAGCAGATATCCTCGCACTTTTAACTTTTAACTAACCACGGATTCCAATTTCACATCTATCTTCGTACGCTCGTAAATTGCTCCTCACACATACACACATACACGTTGCTTAACTTTTAACTACCGTGAACTTTAATGAAAAGATAGCAATTCTGCTAAAAAAATCAATAGCAAGAGAGACTATTGGCTATTTCATTATTGGCTGTCGCATTTTTAATATATTCTTCTAAATGTACAGTGGACGAAAAAGCACATGTCGATCTTTGGCCATAACTATTAGCAAAATCTGTTTCCATAAATAGTTTTCTATATCCGAAAATAATGTACATAGTAATAATTTTCAATAATGAGTTATACAATAATATATTATAACATATTATAGTTATAATATATTATTTATATATTAAGTTATACAATAATATAACATATAGTTATATTATTTATATATTGTTATACTATAACATATAGTTATATTATTTATATATTAAGTTATACTATAATATGTTATAATATGTTATAATAATATATTATAATATGTTATAATAATATACTATAATATGTTATAATAATATATTATAATAATATATTTACAATAATATATTTTCAGTATGAGTTATACAAGAAATGTAAGAATTTGAGAGAGAAAAATATCGACACATAATTCCAGTGGTTAATCTACATTCAATGGCGGTATATATTATTAGAAAAATTAGAAAATTTGCAAATACTGGAACGTTATCGAATAACATCACGTCAACATTAAGAAAAGACACTTGCCTTTAGATAAGGTCTAAAAGATAATAAAATAATTTTATTCTTATTTTATAATAATATATTATTACACAGATTAATTCATAATAATACGAAATTTTATATTTCTTCATTGACTATTAACATAATGTACCAATATAATTAATATAAAATATAATACAAAAATTGTATTTACATTAATATAAAATATAATACAAAAATTATATTTACATTAATATAAAATATAGTACAAAAATTATATTTACATTAATATAAAATATAATACAAAAATTATATTTATATTAATATAAAATATAGTACAAAAATATAAAATTAAAATAAATATAAAATATAATACAAAAATTATATTTATATTAATATAAAATATAGTACAAAAATATAAAATTAAAATAAATATAGAATATAATACAAAAATTATATTTATATTAATATAAAATATAATACAAAAATTATATTTATATTAATATAAAATATAATACAAAAATTATATTTATATTAATATAAAATATAATACAAAAATTATATTTATATTAATATAAAATATAATACAAAAATATAAAATTAAAATAAATATAAAATTAATACAAAAATTATATTTATACTTATATAAAATATAATACAAAAATTATATTTATACTAATATAAAATATAATACAAAAATTATATTTGTACTAATATAAAATATAATACAAGAATTATATTTATACTAATATAAAATATAATACAAAAATCTTACACAAAAAGCACAGTGCAGTTCATTCTCAACGTTTTCACGAATTTTCACACGAATTTCCACATTTACGTGTAAAAGGCAGCCACGTTTGTTACACGTAAACTGTGCGCACACGGGAAACTAATAGCAAATGTCCGTCGCATTATTTTATTACGTCGCGTCGTGCAGTAATCGTGCACCAACGGACAAAACGTTCCTTGACCGAGATGATGTATCGTAGAAAGCCAAGTAACGAGCATCAATAAACTGCGTGGCATCCACGCCCAGGACTATCGTAAGATCTCTCATGACGTGATGTTACACCACGTTCGCCCGTTGCCGTCGTCGCGCGTATCCCATGATCCCCTGGGACGGAAGCCGCCTATTAGCCGGCCAATGATGATGCCAACGGGCACCCAGGTCAGCTCTTCGTCGTGGTACCGCGCAGAGGCCGGCACTGACCGTAGCTTTCGCTCGTCCGCTCGTTTCGTTTCATCCTCCGTAGACACCGAATTTCAATCCTCGGCTCTCCGGGCCAAGAGGTGACCTCCTCGTTCCTACGAAACGTTAGAATCTACAGCGTTGAACTCCGACGAAGAAACAGAAATTGTTTTATACAGAGGGGAACGTGCTTGTCGCACGTGTGCCGAGACTCAAAATTGAAACATTTTCGTGCGACCTCTCCTCCGATTGGATAATTGGATCATCTGGAGACTGTGGATGTAATCGGTTGTCCGTTTTCTTACGAATCCTCTTGCGGCCCTTTAAAATCCTCGAAAGCTTCGGCCGGCTTTCGCAAATTGGCGACACGATCGACGTTGGCGGTGCACCGGCACGATTAAGGGATACGTGCAGGGAATGTGGACGGAAAGAAAGAAACTGTAGCGACTGAAATTGTGATACCATCGATTAGTGTTGCTCGCTTGAAATTCAATTGTACGCGCGCGGTGACCACGAGTTTGTAATTGATTTTTCGATTGATACAAATTGACAGTGCCGTGGATTGTTCTTTCCTCCGAAGCAGGCTACGAAAAATCGTATTTATTAATTAATTAATTCGGTGGTTCACTTTCAACGAGGCAAAGTATTAATTATAGTGGTTCCATTGTGTGATCCAAAGTTCATTTTTGATGTGGTGGTTACATCATTCGCACAGCGGCAGCTGCACCGTGGAACCGAGAGAAAAGTGTGTCGTTATGCTCCCCCTGCGTTCAACGGTGAACCCCTGTTTCGATTAATCGAATGAACGACTAAGCAAGTTTCTTGATACGCAGTGACATCAATAAGCGATGACCAGTGATCACGCGAGCGCCCGTCGTTCTTTCGCATCGCAGTTCTGTAGCAAGTATCCCGCGAGTGACACAGGAAACCGACACGTGATCTACATGGATCGGTATGTGAGAGAATTTTCGTACCTCGTATCTCTTTTGGGGGGGAATTCCTTGCTGATTTTCGTTGCAATTGTTTCCAATGGAATTTGTTTCCAATGTAATTGTTTGGTTTCTATAATCAATTGATACCATAACGTAAGAGATAAGCGTATAAGAGATTCATTAAAAACAATATCATTTTCGACGAAACGAGGGAAGAAAAGATGAAAAAATCCCAATTCTTCCCAAAAGAATTCTGTTTTGCTAAAAACCATTCTTTCATTAAAAACGACCCATTTTCGTTTAAATAACCCCTCGTTTACTTGAAAACACACACTCACACACACACACACACACACACACAAAAAGAAAAAGGTAAAAACTCATCCATTTAATTAAAAATATTCCTTTTTCACTGGACGAATTCTTCCAACCATTTTCAAAGAGTTCTCGCAAAGGGTGCAAACTTACGTGGAAATAAAAGTATGAAATAAAATGAACGTGGCACGCAAGAAAATATTAGCCTTTGGATAAGAACGTCATGCTATTAATTCTCCATGCTGATAATTCATTTTTTAATACTTTGACCTTCGTTGTCTTCTCTTTTGTCTCTCCAAAGACCCACAAGTGTTTCCGAAACTTCCTCTCGATCGTCACCGTGATGGTGTCACCGCTGAGTTTCGATTTATCAAAGTTACGCGCGGCGGAAAAAGAAAAATATATATATATATACAGGAGGGCAATAAAAATTGCAGGGAATGAAAATTGATGGCACGTTTGGGCGTCGAGAGTCGAGGTTGTCCAGGGACAAATATTTTTTTGAAACTCTCTTCGTGGTACGGCCGACCAAGTTACGTATGAACGAAATTGTAAAAAAAAAACAAATGTATCTCGTGAAAAACGTATTTAAATTTGTTTTTTCTTCCGTTTTTTTTTTTTTCTTTTCTACAAGAGTATCGTTTTACACGCAAGTGGAACGTATCTCGAGTATGCTATGTGAAAAGCCGCGAAAGTCTACTACCGACACCTCGAGTAGAAAAAAGGTAGCGTGGTGTGTTGAAACGTTGGAAAAATAATAATTTCGAGGCAGTGGGGAATTTACAATTAGCATTTTAATGATAATGATGATCATTATGAAAGAAGACACGGAGAAGGTGCGGAAGAGTCGAGCGAAAATAGTTTAGAAGAAACGAGAAAGACATCGTACGAAAATAGGAATTCAAATTGAAAATGAAATAATTAGAATAACAGGGATATGAAGTTGTGGCGTTATATGTTGAAAAATAAATTCTCGCGCTCGGAGAAATGTTGGAACATCTCCCTTTTTTCTCCGTTTTTCCCGTAGACTTTTAACCCCTTGCGCTGGCAACTGGTTCGCGGACCATAACGAGTGACCGAGCCGTATGCAATAATCTGTCGCTTTCTGTTTCTTTTGAACTCGTCGGTACGATGTCACTGGATGGAAATTATTAAGAAGCAATAAACTTATCATTTGTTTTGTCTTTAAATATACTTAAAAACTGAGAAAATGTTGCAATTTGGGACAAAAAGTTCTCGACACGTCATTCCAGCGCAAAAGGGTTAAATATTTAAATAATCTTCTACAGAACTTTAATCTATAATTAAGCTAGCCATTATAAAATTAAAATAATTAAAATAAACTATCCGTTACATAAAAAAAAAATGATTCAAATAAAAACTGAATGATTCAGAGGAAGCCATAATTTAATGTAATTTTTGGATAAACACATAAGTCACATAAACGAGAGCTACATTTATAAATTAATTATACATTTACCGTATGTGACCGTATAGATTTATTTTAATTATTATCATTCAAATTTCCTTTCAAATTTTATCGCCTCATTCGTTTTACTCATTTTTACATTTCAACCATCATTCTATTTCTGCATTTATTAATGTAAATATTGGCTGCTTATTCTATGCACTAAATTAAATTAAAGTGCAAAAATTAGATTAAATATATAAATATATTACATAATTAAATTAAATTGTAATGACCAGACTATTGATTTTTATATTGAAAATTTATATTTTTACGAACACAATTACAGAAATAGGGACAATAGTGAGATTAGCTTAATTTACTAAATATTATAAAGATTATTATAATCTAGATATTTCGTGTATTTCTACATTTTATTTAATGCATAAATTCACTGTCTAGTAATAATTTGTGTGTAGAATCTTCTAGTACGTTTCAAAAACCGGTAGTTCTCGTATTATCTCACATTTGTCGAGAAATTATTAATTTAGGAGATATTTTAAATTTGGTTTTGTAAAATCTATCATATGAAAGACGAGGAAGAACAGAAGTGACATATTGCTCTGCTCGTTTGGTTATAAAATTAAAATTAAGATATCTACTAAATTAATAGTCTAACGACATAAATAGATTAATATAATTTTAATATAATTTAATTAAAAACAATTTGCGCTATGCAAATATATCTTATTGTCGAAATTTTGTCAAATCAAAACATTGTAACAATATCATAATTGAATAGTTTGATTGACTGAAGATTTTAACAATAAAATTATGGTTGTACGATACTGAAAATTTTAACAAGAAAGGTATGTTTGTACACAAGTCATTCTGAATGAAAAATTAGACTGATTAACTTTTGGGCCCTCCATGTAATTCCATTTTAAAAAATATATACTATATACCACGTATTCATATAATCTTTAGACATTCGTTTGCAGAAGAAACTATTTACACCAGACTTTTCATTTTATCTGAATCACTTTTTTAAATATATAACGAGTAGTTACATTTAAAGAAAGCCCGATTAAAACATCCCGTTGAAAAAGTGTTAACTTATATATCATTATTATTAATTCTTTGAACATAAAAATCCCCGAGTCGACCTCGTGGAACGGATTATGGGTCAAACATATAAATCACGAATAAATCATTCTTTCATCTCTGTTCATGATTTTGCTACGAGCCGCGCAGTGTATTATAAATCATACGGCAAGAGATTCAAACAAGTCAATTAAAATCATTTATAACTTCTATTTAAAGTATCTTAAATTCATAGCTTTAAATTGTATTAAATTATATCAATTAGATTGTTAAATCTATTATTGTTATATATATATATATAATTATAAAATATACATAATAATAAAGTTATTAATAAATAAATATATTTATAAAATTTAGTACTAAAAAAATTGGATATATAATTCTTGTTAATTGAATCGATCATAATAATTTATGAAAGGTTTTTCTCTGCAGCTCCACCATGTATGTTTTTTGGGTTGTAACGTAAATTCGTTCTGCTTCTATATATTAAATAATTCATTATGTTAATAAACAGGATGTGGATTTGATCCATTTTAAAATTTTTATAAACATCGCTAACGAAATAGAATCTGGAAGAAATTTGTTTTCTTTGCTATATATTATAATATACTATATTTAGAATATTTATGTTATACTGTATTTTGAATATTTTATGTAAATATTTATCTATAAAATAAATATTTACGTATAATGTATATCATATACATTGTGCATAAATTTTCGCAACTTCTAATTTTTAAAGTTTGCATGCTTGTTAAGAATAAATCTCAATGTTCAATGAAATCATCTTCGACATTTCGATTGTATATGCTTAAAGTGGCTATTCGTGCTATAGATATATTTTACTAAATATTTAATATAGTATAAACTTAATATTTTACTAAATATAAGTGTATAATAAATATTTTAAAACTCCTACATATATTCTTACATTAGCTTTAAATTTTACCAGTATAATGATAATAATAGTTTCTCATTACAATGTTATAAAATTGTTTTATATAACACATATAATATAATATAGGTAATTATTATTATATATTCTTTGAATATTTTCATGACCATATACTACACAGAACAAATTTATGTTAAAACCCAATATTTGAACAGGATGTACAATAAAATATTTCTAATGATATTTTGTAACTTTACTAATAGCATTCTGCTATTAAATTAAAATACTGGAATTATAAATGTCTCAATACTTTTTTAGCTCTCGAATTTTTATATTTTTTGTATTATTATGGTGTAACTCATTATTGAAAATTATTACTATGCACATTACTTTATGTAAACTATTATGGAAACAAATTTTGTTAATGTATCATTTGTTTTCATAAAGATATTGCAGAAACAACCTACTCTAGAGTTTGACTTACTGTGGTTTAAAAATTGTTTTAAAAGTTTTAAAAAGTATTTTAATCATTCTTCTCTCTACAACAGAATGTTCTTTAAAAAATTTATTGTTTCAATTAATCATGTGAGTGTTGGTTTTATATGTGTTGGATGAGTGAGAATCTTTTGTTTCTAGTTATAAAGTCTATGGTGTAAATGTGATATATGAGAGTCCCATTTGGTGTGAATGATATTTGGAAAAATGTCCTAGAGAGTCGGTTGTTATTGAAGAGTCAAAGAATGAGAACGCGAGACTGAGAGTGAGAATTATAAGAGAGTGAGAAAAGAGAACTAATTCATCATTTAGAAATAATATTTCATGTTTATTGAGTTATTATATTTTTAGGTAGATATATTTTGTGTTTTTCACTGAAAGATATTATTGTCCCATTCTACCCACAAATCACTGTACTCCTCCAAGATTATTCTTCTCTTTACATCAGATACTGTCCTCGAAAGTCTATAGTTTCGACCACTCCTATTATTATTAATCTACCATATTAACCATAATTATTTTTCAATCTTTCGTAGGAAGGTGAGAAAGGAATAAGTTGAAATACTAGTGAAAAATATTGGAAACAATTTTCTACAAGGAAATACTATAAAAATATTCAGAATAAAATCTTATTATAGAATAAGAACATTTTGCATTTGTGACCCAGATAATTACAACAATAATTATAATGATATGATGCAATGTTTCCAACAATTTAAATCATAGCTTTGCTGTATTTTGAATGTAATGCAGCTTGTTTCTCCAATACAGCAACATTTTTGAACAAGATGAGATCATCGTTTGTCGTTATATAATTAATGGAATTTCCTGACAAGTTAATTACGGCCACACATAAATATAAAGAACGGCGCATTTGACGATCGTGTTTAATTGGAAATAATTGGAGAGCCAAGAGCGTTTCATTTGCTTTTTGCTACACGACAGCTCGACTGCACGTTTCACTAACAATAAGCCTGCTGTTCTTTAAAATTTCTATAAGAGAGTAACTATTAATGTAACTATTGGTAACTGTTAATGTATATTTTCTTTCATAAGACTCGATAAAAACGAAACGTTTGGAACAAAATGAGAAATTGTAAATCACTGGATTAATCTCTTGAAAATCCCAAAATTCAAGATTAATAGAATTATTTATATAAAAATCTTTTAGCTACAAATTGACTGTAATTAAAAAAGAAACATAAATCATCTTAGGACTTATGATTGGAATGTTTATGTATGTTAAATATGAGAAGAAATGTATGATATGCATAAAAGGTGTAATAATGATGCAAAGTATATTAATAATATAATATTATATGTACAATATATTATAACGATATAATTATAATTGTAATGTATAATTATAATAATATACTTATAAATTAATATGATATAATTATAATTATATATTATTAAATTAATATTATTAATGAAATTAAATTACTATTATTAAACCAGTAGTTAAATTATTTAACAACTAATATTTACAATTATCATAATATATAGTTTATACGACAATAAATTACAAAATACTTTCTGCAAGTTTGCATTTGTTAATCTTGCAAAATAGCTGTTAAAGACATAAATTTAAATTAATTAATACTATTAATAAACATTGACTAAAAACACAAGTTAAATTAATTGATATCATTAATAAAATTTAACAACTATTATTGAACAAGCAGTTAAATTATTTAACGACAAATATTTGCAATTATTACAATATATCATATACGTATAAATTATAACACTTTCAAGTAATAATAAATTATTAAGCACTTTTTTTTTACAATGCTGTAACATTGACTAAAAACGTAAGTTCCTGAATAATTTGAACTCTCGTTCGATCTTGTTCTTTCTTTAGAACTCTCTCGATAGTGGCTCGCGGCTTTCAAAATTCATGTTTCTCTTCGCCAATCGATCCATTCTAACTTCTCTCCCAATGGGGCGGCTGTGCGTTTCAATTCCGATCGTTTGTCACGAGCAAGGAAGTCGTAACCATCCTCTATTCTCTCTGTTTGCAGACTCGGTGTACCGGTGCACCGCGGAAGAGCGAACAATGGATATGAGAAGAGCAGAGGCTAAGTAGCAGGTTGCAGGTACAGGAACAGAGAGGGCGAAGCAACAGGGAAGAAGGAGCCGATCGAGCGAGAAAGAACCGACAGAGAGTGGAAGAGTGAGTGAGGGAGAGTCCTTTCTTCCAAGCGTTAAGTAAAAACGAAAGAATAGAAGAAGAAGAGAAGAGAAGAAGAAAGGAGAACGGGAAGGTGGCACCGGCAGAGATATCAAGGAATCAAGAAAACATTTTCGATAAAAGGGTAAACAGCGGATAAGTCGAACAAAAAAGATGAAGGAGAGCAGCTTATGGACACTGGTTTGGACAGTGAGTCTAGTAACGAGCCTGACCGTGGCGCAATCATCGGTGAACTGCCCCTCGCACAGTGAGATCTCGCCCTGTTCCTGCACTGTGAAGAAATCCGGCCTGGACATTGTATGCGAGTACACGAACCTCTCTCACATCGACGATGTGATGCGCTCGCTCAAAGGGAGAACGAACACGGTGATCTTTTATCTGAGGCTCAGGCATAACAGTCTGCCGAAGCTGCAGCCGTACGTGTTCCTCGGCCTCGACATCCGTCATCTGACCATTCACAACAGCAGTCTGGCGAAACTCGAGGAATCGTCTCTAAGTTCTATCGGTAAGTGTTTCACAGATCTGATCACTTTAATCTCAAAATTGCAATATCTTCTTCTCAGTTTTCAAGTATATTTAAGTATAACCCAGGCGAAATAACGAATAATAAATTTATTACTTCTCAGTCGGTTCTATCCGTGTGCGATACCGGCGAGTTCAAATGGTTTGGTCGCTCGTTATGGTCCGCAATCAGTTGTCAGCGCAAGTGGTTAATTGTCGATGAACATTTCAAAGATGTTTTCTCCTTTTTTTTTTCTTTTAGTTGCTCTGTTTCTTTGCCTCTTCGATCGATCGAGTAAAAAGCAGTTTCAATTCAACCTCGAGTTCTGACATCGAAACAGGCCGCTTCAAAGCTCTCCTTCGTTTCATTGTTCCAAACCCTTTGCCTCGGTTATTTAAAAGTTTTTAAGCGCGGCCTTTGGGTGATATTTTTCAAAGTCCTAAATTCGATTGCGCGCAAAACGCGACGATATTTTTCTTCTTCTGCTTCTCTTGTTTATCCTTCTTTTTGATATCATATATATATATTTATTATTATTATAATTTTGACGTTATTGTTATCATTAGACTGCGGATATTTATGCATACGAAATTTATGTTCATAAAATATGTAAATATACAATATGCGAGTATACAATTTGTGAGTAATATATTATTCAATGATATCTGAATAGGTACAAAGGAAATTCAACAAATCATGCATAATTGATTACAATAAATTATTTCCATATATATATATATACATATTATTACATATAAACTATTACAATACATTATAACTTTTTTATACACTCAATTATTGACATTTGTTAGTTAACTTGTTAATATTAAAATGCTGAAAAAGGAATATTCTACATCATATGACGTAACAAGTGCATATTTATATCTACTTCAATGTTATTGTAGTACATAGCCTGTTTATATCGATCTTTAACTATACGCTACAGTTATCTATAATAATAATTAAATACGGTGAGATAAATACGAAAAGGAAAATATGTAACATATAATGTGCATATGCTTTTTAATAAAAATATGCAAACAAAGAGATACGTATCAAAATGTTTCTGCGTGAGCATCCGTAATCTGATTATTATAATTTTATTTAAATTATTAATATTTATTTTATTTTGCTTTATTTTCGCTATTTTATTTACATTTTAATTTCCGATATTTGGTTAATTTTTATCTTTTGGCATAAATCTCCTTTTTTTTTTCTCTTTTCTCTAAATTAGAAATTTGTAGTTATTTTAAGAACGGAGAAAACTCTCGACTTCCCTTGTACTTGACTCTCTTTCTACTTTCTCCTTCCAATGTGAACGAAATGCGAGCAATTCATCAGTATGGTTTATCATGATGTTTTACAGGGACCGGCCTGACGCAGCTAGACCTCTCGCAAAACTCTTTGCTCTCGGTGCCATCTAGTGCTTTGAAAGATCTTCAACATCTCCTTATTTTGAATCTGAACCGCAACAAGATCAAAGCCATTCATAAGAAAGCTTTCGAAGGGCTCGACACTCTCGAGATTCTTTCACTCTACGAAAACGAGATTTCCATCATAGAAGAGGACGCCTTCAAAGGCTTGCATAAGTAAGTCGTTCGGACTCGAAGTTAACCACTTCCTACCCAGAGTTAAGCAAAAATTCAATCAACGATCGACAATTGAATTTTCATCGTTGATTGCGATTAGCGATTAAATACATGCCAGTAATTCCATTTAATTTGGATAATTTAAAATTTCAACCGTCGAATGCGATTCGAAATTAAATTCTCGCTTTGATCGTCAGTACCTTTCACTTTCAAGTTTCAACCGTCAGTTGGACAATTGACTGACGACAGATTGTCTGAAATTTCTTTTGCAGTAAAATTAATATTTTGTGTGAAATTTATCCTAAACACTTTGGCTTAATCTGTCCCTTAAAATAATAATTTGTTGTGATGTTATAAACACTTTAGTTTCTTTAGATTTCATAAAAATCGTAGAATGAACACAGATGAAAGACACAATGATGAAAAAACGTTAAGCATTCATAATCGTAAACATTCAAAAAATTTAATATATTAAAATTCGTAATATTGAAGAATTCTGTTAATATAAATTGACAGGAAAGAATTGCAAATTAAATGTTGCGTCAAAGGACAACGTTGGTCCTTATTAGTGGTTTAACATGGATTAAATCGATCGTCAATTTTTCGACGATTTATTTTTCCAAGCATAAGCTTTCCATTACTACTAGTACAAAGTCCGTGACTTCAATTCAATTCTCATTAATTTTCTATCAGATCGTAGAATTGAGACGCAAATAAAAATACGTTTATATTGCAGCAGAAAGCTGAGAAGATTGAATCTGGGAGGGAACCACTTGACCAAAGTGCCAACGCAAGCGCTACGCGCTCTGGACATGCTGAAGAAGTTGGAGATGCAGGAGAATAGGATCTCCGCCATTCAGGAAGGTGATTTTGAAGGTACGTCTACTCTCATTTCCGTTTTCTCTACAATTCTCCAACTTCGTCCGAGATTCCCTCTTGCACGCTATTACTGTCGAAAGTATCGTTCCAATTTTTGGCATTGTTGCATTTCCCAGGACAAGTGACATTCGTTAAATCATTGCCTTGTTTCTCAAATGTAACGAGATATTAAACAAAATTTTCATTCTAATTCTTTCTTCTTTTTTTTTTTCACGAAGTAAATTGTTCAGACAGATCCTATTACGGTATTATTATCATGCTATAATAATTTGTAACAAATGATCTTTGATTATGCTCGTAACGAAAATAATTGTTTTTAATTAAATTATATTTATAAATTATAAGATGTTATAAGACGTTTACTTTACTGTCCGTTTACGAGTGTTATTCATAAGTAAATAAAGATATTGTTACTCAATTAATTTAATAAAATGCTGTACAGAGTAAAACCCCGGACATTTTCACTGATTTTGAAATTATTTTTCTTGTATGTTTGCCATTGAGTTTTGCAAATTTATTTTAACATATTTCAGTAAACAGATGTTGATAACGTTAATACTACTATAACGTAGTAATTTGAAATTATTTTTTGTAAGTTTATCATTATAGCAGATTTTAATACTATATATAATATTTCGTTTCGATGCAAGATTGATAAACATAAAATTATAGAGCAATTTTTCCCCATTTTGTCCCCCTTTCTCCTATTTAAAATCTTGATTCCTTCAGAAATTGACATCATTAACGTTATTATATAATATACTTTGGTTGTTTTATACATTCATAAGAATTGTATTTATTCTATGTATTTTTGCGTTTTCAAATTTCCTACAAATATGTAAAAAAAAAAAAATCTGTATTTCATTAATTTTTGATTCCATTTTAAATCTAAGTTGAACACAAGGCAATTTCTATTGCATTACATAGTTTCCTAGCAAACTTCGATTAACCCCATAAGTTTACAGTGCGTGCACGCGCGTGCATCCTCGACCTTTTCGCACGCGAACAATAAGGCCATCGATAGAATTAATATCTACACTTATTCTTAGACGTGAATTAGCTCGCCTCTAAAAATGAGCTTCGTTGTAATTTTCTATGTGGCTATTTATTCGAACTTCTTATCTCATTTCCCCATATTGGACTCTATTTTAAGTCTATTCATTTTTTTTTTTTTTCTTGAACTCTATTTTTGCCATCTATGAACGTGGTGCATCGTTGTTGTATATCTACAGAATAAAAATCGACAGATTTAATATGAGTTTCCCCTTTTTCTCTCTCGAACTATTATTAAAATAAAGAACAATACATAAAAGTAGATTTATGATGCATATAGCACTTGGCTGTTTTATATGTTTTATATGAATTTTTCTCTATTCATGGCATGCTTTTGTAAAATATTTGTAAAATATGTATATAAATTAATAAGAAACTATATGGTCCAAAATAATATTTATAAATCTTGTTCTTATATGTTAATAATAATAATATAACATAATATATATAATATATAAGGACATAAGTTTTTCTATAATACTTACGTTATATTATTATTATATTATATATATGTATATATCGATACATGTATATTATATTACATTGCAGAGTATATATGTATATCATATTGAATAGTCAAAAGCTTATCATTTTCTTATATATTAATATATTTTAATGAATATATGTATATATATTATAACATATATTTATATAATTATTTTTTTTTAATAAATCGATAATATATGAAAATTGATAATAATATATTAAAATTGAATTTGGAATTTATAAGCTTAAAAGCTTTATCTGATTTGTATCTTAGAGATTAAATTTTTCAGAATATTTTATTATAAATTTTTTTTTAAAATTGTACCAGTTTATTTCATCTCTTGGACATGTCAGTGTTTCATTACGTATTTAATAATTTTCCAAATCAATTTTATCAAATCATAACAATAAAATAATAATACAAAATGTAATCATTATTCGGAAGTATATATCATTTCTATCTTTGATGGAATTAAATTACATCTTACTAAAGTAAAAAAGTAACAAAGTAAACCGGATATTTTTTAGCAGTACATCCCCACTCAAAAATCTCAGGACAATAAACACTATATTTGAAGACATGAAGAATAAATTTAATACTTCAGTAAAGAAAAATATTAAATAAATAAGTAGATTTATTCGCGGTATAAATAAAAATTTAATTTAATAAATAGATGAAACAAGAAAGAGATATAGAATAAATACAAAATACAGAATAATACAATATAATACGTTATTATAAGATAATGACACAATCAAATAAAAACAAAAGAGAGAAAAGGAAAAAGAATATGGAAACGTGTTAATTAATTAAATGATCAATGTCCAGATACGAATTTACAGCAAAATACGTGAAAGAATTAAGCGAATAGAAGAACTAATTTATCTATATTCTAAATCCTAATATAAAGATTAATGTATTTACCAACTTGAGTTTAGTATATGTTTCTCAGTATATAAGTGAAAAGTTCCAATAAATCCTTACTGATGTATAAAATTCAACATGTGTTAGAAAATTAGCATTGAAAATGCGATTATTTAAAAGTTTAATCACAAGAAAAAAAAAAAAAGATCGGAGATAATTTGTATCTCATTGTCTTTTTAAAATAAAAATCTTATCTTATTACCCTTCAGTATCGAATATTAAAAATAAAAAAAATGTCCTGAGATGACTTTCAAGCGGAAGCGTAGATGGATCGGAAAAAGAAACTGAAAAGCGACAAGGCAATGGAACAATTTGTTTTTATTTCCGTGTAAAGACCGTAGATAGAGAAGTATTGCTGTAAAACGTAGCGAAACACCGAAATGAACGAGCTCTTAAAAAATTCTCTTTATATCTGTTACCAGGTCTGAAAAGCCTGGATTCGTTAGGATTGGCGCACAATCAGCTTCGCGAAGTGCCCGCCCGTGTGTTCGCCCACTTGACACAATTAAACTCTTTGGAGCTGGACGGAAATCAAATTACCCACGTGGATCCGGATGCGTTCATCGGTCTCGAGGGTAAGCGTAATCACGATTTCATGCGATTCCTTTGAAACGTCGCGGTGGTATGCCCGGGCGAAACTCTATTATTTCTGTCGTGTCGTCTCGCACGCCTCGAACAACCGATTATCCGACCGATTTGCCATTAGACGAGCTCTGTCGATTTCGAGTTTCCGCCTCGGAACAAGAATCGCGCTAATCGAAATTATTCCTGGTAATTGGTTTTGCATTTGATTAATCGGTCAATTGTTTCGGTAGTTTTACAGAACGGCAGTTGAATCATTCGATTGTTTATACCACATAAACTAATAATTTTTCGGCATACAATGACTCGCATACAATATTTCGGACACTTAAATATTGAAACTGATGATTTTGTAAAAAGAAATCGTGCAGTAATAAACTTGGGCTTGTTTCAAAGCTTGAGGTCTTTACTTTCAGAATGCATCGTTCATTTTATTCCAAGTTTTTATACTATGTGTAGATAGTAAAGTAAAGACATTGGTCTTCCTCTTTCGTGATATATAGGAACATTGAAAAATTTTTTTCGTGACTGAATCTACAATGGATTTTAAGACTGAGGCATTTTTTACAACGAGACGCTGTTTTTACAGCATTTTGTACAATGACAATTTGTAGGATTTTCGAAAAAAGAAGTATCTTCACTTATCCGCTCGCTAGGTGATAAAGAAACATATTAGGATAAAATAATTGATGCATTTTGAAAGTAGATGTATCAAAAATTAGCCTAGTTATGCGATTTTCTTTTTTTTTTTTTTTCTATAAAATTGTAAGAATTCAAATTTAGTTCAGTGTCCGAATATTAATAGGAATTACATAGATTAATACTTTATTATAGAGGATATCGATTAATGGACTAGAAAATATATCATTTTATTTAAAAAAAAGAAATCTGTAAAACCCTTTCACCTACAAAAAAAAAAAATCATTACTGCCACATTATAGCTCACTCTATGCTGAATAACTTTTGTTAACAAAATTTTTTCACATCTTTGAAAAACAACATAAATATATTTGGTCGAGACAAATGGAATATCTTGAGTATAATTATTGATTCATGTTTAGTCTTGACTCTCGCTAAAAAATTATTTTTCGTGGTTTTTGTCAGATAGCCGTATTATTACCACTTTTGTTCAAGTTCCTAAAATCGATTCTTATTTTCATAATGAGTATATATCTTTAAGCAAAAATTTAAAATAACTGACTTTAAGGTTACGAGTCGGAACTTAAGAAGATATTTAAAACTTGAGCGGCACATTATCCCTCAAATTCGCTGATAAATGGAACTTTGATAAAACATGGATTTCGTAAGTGATCGACGGTATAAAAAGGAATATTAATGTGATTTCAGTGAAAGAACCTTTACGAAGAGGAAATTAAACGATAAATACATTATGGCAGATTATTCTACAAGAGAGAGTATGAATCCTTTGCAAACACGGTGCCTCTTTGCGAAAAAATCCTCTCGAACATTCCTCGGTGGAAAGCTAGCGTACGATCGAAATTCTCCATGCTAATGTAATGAACTCTGTCCGTTTGAAGTAGAAACAAGTAATAGACTCGATCGGATCAACGTTATATCCCGCAGTGATTCGATGAAACTCGAAGCACGCTCGTCGATGAATTATTACGTTGTTATACCGTGGCTGTGAGATAACGCGATTAACTCGACGAAAGACAAATAATTGTTGCGCTTCAAACTGCATTTTAAATCGCGTTTCGCGATTTACGAGATCCCTGTATAATATATTCCTTTGCCCGACAAGTGGATTAACACATGGATTATCGACGCTGCTGAAGAGAAAAGGACGAAACGTTTCGATAAATAAACTTTCCGATAATCGATCGGTGACAATATCAATTCAAGCGAGTTATACTTTGTTGTAAACAAAAAAAAAAAAAAGAAGAACCGGTTGAACGCAATGAAACCGGAACAAATTGAACAATATTGGCCGTTCATGTCCGGAATTAAGTTACCTATGATATTTTTTATTAAATTTTTGTGTCATTGGAAAGAAAGAACAGGAAAAGAAATTTTCTAATACTTTAATGCGCAGTAAAACCTTCTCTTGTATGAACTCTTTATTTTTGCATTTTTATACTTGAATGTATATCATTAGAATAAAATGTCTGTTGGTAACAAATGATCTAGTTGTTAACAGACATTCTAATAAATAACGTGCATAAATAATTGAATAAGTAAGTGCAACTCCATTAAAAGTGTTTTTTTCATATTCGTTTTTAATAAATAATTTATGCTTTATCTGTATAAATCTCTCCAATATAGTTAGAAACACACATATATATCATTCTAACATTTCAATAATGAACATATGTACATATTTAAAATTACTCTGTAGAGTCTTCACCCACTTAATTATTACATTGTATTCATTTATTTTCCTTATTAATATCTATTAACTGTATACGTTAAAATTAAATTAAAGAAATTTATTTGAGTTGTATTTTGTATTGTAATAACTTAAAAGTGTTCATTTTTACACAGTAATGTAGGTTCACACAAGAGAGGCTTTACTGAATTATATTCAAAATAGGTTCAAAATAAGCTAAAAAAAAAAAAATAAAACGTTGTACTACAAGAAATAAGAAAGTATAAATACTCTCGTATCATCTTTGAGCTATTCATAAATGTTCATTTTGATATTTCATAAATGTCCTTTTGATATTATTATAAAGAATTATTATCATTGAAATGATACAACCATTTATATGGCGGTACATTTAAGTATTTAAATACTTTTAAATATCAAGATATAAAGGATTGGCTCTTTGTGATCTATAAATTATTTTTTAATAATAATATAATATAATCTCTGAGATAAGAGATAGATTAATCTAATATGGAACTGAGATAATCTCTTGCTTCATTTTCAAAAATTTGAAAAAATAGAGCGTATCGATTATAGTCGACAACGAATCGAGATTTGCATTTAAAAACTCAATTTTCTTTCATGATTTTGAACGTATGTATGTAGACGTGCGTCGTTTAATTCCCCGTTAATTGGCAAACAACGTGTCACCGAGAGCGCTCATGTGTATTTCATTTTAATTCCATTACAGAGAACTTGCAATACCTGCGACTGGGCGATAATAATTTACACGCGGTGCCAAGCGACGCATTACGCCGTCTACATCGATTACGTCACCTCGATTTAAAGGCCAATAACATAACCTCGCTGCTGGAGGATGCTTTCACCGGATACGGGGACTCCATTACGTTTCTCAATCTCCAGAAAAATTTGTAATTCTCATTATTTCGTTAACGAAACGACGTTTCACACTCGTCGTGTAATTATCATCGTAATCAAAGACGTTCTCTTCTTTTCTCCCTGATCTTTAGAATCAAGGTATTGCCGCCGTTGGTCTTCGAAAATTTGAACTCGTTGGAAACGCTGAATCTACAAAATAACAAGCTGACACGTATAAAGGAGGAGGTGACTGAAAATATCGTGGATACCCTACGACACATCGATATCACGGGTAAATGTCAAGGATTTGTTTGGATTTCCTTGGAGTGGGAACGCATACATCAACTTCGTGGAAAAGTCTGACACGTACTCCTACTGTGATTCTATTATAGTGGAGTTCTGTTAATGAATTTGTAGGCGGAGAGACAGTTTGTAAAAATAATTGTCGTTCGTAAAATAGAAATTCGCTAAATCTCTTTTCTTTGTTCATATAATGGGAATTCAAATAATAAATAAACTTTCATTTATATATTTTATGAGAAATTATTTAAATGTTTAAAAATACAGTGTTATTACGTCTATAAAATTTGTAACAGAAATTATAAATTGGTCATTTTGACCACTTTGGTAGTTCTAATACGTATTAAGGATCAACGTTAATACAATTCTTTTTCAATCAGTTTACACAGTCGAATTTTTTCATTAATATTATACCTGAATGAAATTTAATTCCAAGAATACGTTTGATATTTTCTTCATTACTATTTCTTCTATCTGAATTCTACAACTTTGTGAAATTTAAAAAAATCGAAGTATTTTCTATTGTTTGGTCCTTAATGGATTAACAATAAACAAAAGACAAAATATACATACATGAAAGTATTATTAAAGTCAATTAATGAAATATATAGCAAATAATTACAGAGGGATATCCTGAAAAAGCATAAAATAACTTCCCAAGAGTCGATTAAAATACTTCAAGAGCACTTGCTAATAAGCTTACAGACAAGTTTTAAGTCGAAAGGTACTGAAGCGTTTAAAATACAGTGATTACAAGTGGAAGAAATGTTAGTCATTAAGAGACGTCATTAACATGAACGAAGAAACGATTCCTTAATAATACCTTTTAAGAACTACAAATTTCTTTTAAAATGTCGTAAAAGTTAAAATGCTTGAATCAATTTTTTATTTAGAAAAATGTTTTTTCAGCTTATAGAAATGATTCAGTAACAATTATAAATTTCACTAGCATTATCAATGCTAGAATATAACCTGCATTATAGAAATTAAAATGCGAGATATAAGAAAAAATTTATAAAACAATAAAGAACACAAAGTTTTATTTATACATATTTCATGAAAGACCATTGAAATCTCTAAAGATGCATTGTTGTAAATCTAGAAAATTTCTGTAACAAAATTAAAGTGAATTAATCGCACGTAACTATAATTGTTAGACCTAATTAACGAATCAAGGCTGTTTGTTCCACTCCAAGTAATTTTGTAACCCTTTATAGGACAGTACTGTGGAGCAATCAAAAGAAAATTGTAAGATGGAAAATCTGTTTTTCTCGAGTTCTAATATGATGATTTTTCATAAATTTCGTTTTTTATTATATATCTATTAGAGAATAATGAATATAGTTATCTCCCTCTCTCTCCCCTGAATCTCAATACAATGGTCTTTGATAAGAATTCATATTATACACAGGTAAAAATAATAAAAAATAATATAATTGGTCTATATAACAAATGGTAAATACACTTACAGCAGCCTATAAAGGGACATATTACATTATATTATAGGAGTATAAACATAATCTCGCCGTTTATTTTAAACGTTTTGCATTTTCACAGACAATCCTTTGATATGCGACTGTGAGCTACGATGGTACTCCATTTGGTTGGAAAATTTACGTGACAAGGATGAGGAAAGGATGTCGAGGAAGCGCACCATGTGCATCATGGTCGGCGAACACCGAGAGTACTCTGTTCAAAATATACCACTGGAGAGAATGGGTTGCGTCGGGAAAAACGCTGGAAGAACCTCGTCGACTGGCAGCTGCCGCGTTTACGTCGATACGATGCTGCAATTAGTAACGACCGCCATCACGATGCTCTAACTGCGATGCTCGATCATGCGACGCTCGGACACTTCAGTTACCAATGATGCGGATTCATCCCTTTGATTCGCGAACACAAACACTTGCTATCGGCAACGTTCACTTCGTTTATTTCATTTTCGTTGCCTAATGAATTTATATTGTTCTTTCGTCATCGAGCAATCATGCCACGGTCGCGGAGACGTGACATGATTGGATCGTTTATACTTTTATTTTTTAAAACGAGATTTCCTTTCGACGAATTGTAACTCCACCGTTGCGCAGTTCGAATAGTTCAATAAGCACATTGACAAGCAAAAGCATCAAGATCGATCGTTGAAAATTTTTTTACGTATTTTTGAATAATTTCTAGAAAACTTTCATATATGATATCTGAATTGAAAGAAAATTGAAAATCTTTCTCGACGTTCTTTTGTCTTATTGACTTTTTCTCTTTGTTCAAGAACAATGAGCTGAGCAATGAACGATCGACGAATATTTCGACAACAAAAAAACGATGAACAATCGACGAATATTTCGACATATTGTTCACAATGTCATTCGATCGAAGATGGAACAAGGTGAAGAACGAGACACGATTGAGCATACGGCGTCCACGAACATCTCGATCGTCTGACCGATTGAAATTCGATCGTAGCGTTCGGTTCGTAATAAATCGAAAACCACGTTCGAAGACTATTCGAAACGAGGAAAGGAAGAAACTCGATCGCGGCGTACGATTAACAGGGTGAAAAATGGCCCCTCGGTATCATAATAATTGTATGAGCCTTTTTCATCGAACGTTACATATCAAGATCGTTGCCAAGTATTTTATGGATGTCTGTTAAGGCTCGCGTGAACGCGAGATGCGTAGTATAAACTTAATAGAGAATTCGAATGTCTGTAGTTTAGCCGTCATTCTAATGATCCGCGGACATTCATCTTATACATATCAACGCCCGATTCCTGAAATCGTTGGGACGAAATCATCGGCATTTCTTAATGTTCGCACTTCGTACGTCACAATCTCACATAGAGGTATAGTAATATAGAAGTTACCATAGAAGTATAGTAATCTCCAGTTAACAGTTCGTTGATGAAAATTAGGATAATATGGGTCAGGTTGCTTGATTAATTCATATTTACTACGCATATGAAATACTATATAAATAAAGTGTTTTACGATTGATTCGATTGTTCGATTATACGAAATTCACTGATTTAATACGATAATGTTGGTTCTATGTATTTACATTTATTTCAAATATATCACGAACGTATTGCTCGATCAGCAATACATTCGGACCGAAATTGGGTAATCGATCTTCGGGCGGACTCTTTAAGTTGTAATCCTTGCCGGTGAGATCTTGAGATCATTCAGATGTTTTAAATCCATTCACAAAGGACCGACCAGTCGAAATGAAATAACGACTGCTGATGAAACGTAATATACTCAACAGGAAACCGACACTTGTCAATTCCGGTAGAGCACGAACACGATCATTCAAATGGGTTGTCGCTTCTGTTTTGTGGGCTCTAGACGTCGACACTTACACGCCGCGTGATAAAATTACACCGTCTTTCAGCAACGCCGCGAGATGAGACGGTAAAACGATCATGTACGTCGCAGTTACGCTTTTGCCGCACCATCCTTAATTTTAACTAGACGCTTTAAATTCCCCTCCTTGTTATAGCACGGATGATTGTGACGTGCGAACAATACCACGTTATGCTTGCATTTCGAGTTGCGAAACGTGTTCGAAGTTCGTTCGGGATGCACGGGCGAATAAATTTTTTTTTTTTTTTTTTTTTTTTGGGCGCGGGTGAGAAAATTCGATTGTTACCGGAAACGAAGAAAGTATAGAGACAAATCCTCATGCATGTAATATTATATATTGTCGAGTGTATAACATTAAACGATATAGAGATATAATGTATATTATAAGACTCAGTTGATTGAAGTATTTGTTGGTAGTAAGCCATCATCGAACACCTTTCGTACACTGTATATCGCGCGAGATATATTATTATCAATTATCGAAAATGCGTTCAGAGAACGTAGCATCGTAAATACGTTACACATGGAAAGTACATTGTGTTTTATTATTCGATACATAGAGTAATAAAAGAGTAATAAGATCAAGGCATTAATATTACGAGTAATATTGCATATTGAAACTAAGTTAATAATATAATGTTACGTCGTGACACGAACCGTCATGGAACCTAGTAGAAATCGAAGGAGAATTATGAAAAATTTCTTTAATTTAATTCAAATCAGAATTTATAATTATCTATAATTATCAACTATTCCGTGTAAAATAAATATTATAATTTAACAGGTCGGTTTAATCAATTTCTTTTCTAAGACATTTCGTGCTATATACTAAAAATAACGATAGGATAATAATATATTGAAAAAAGATTTCCTCCTTCGATTAAGGGGAAAGGTTCGTGCCAACATCACACAACACACACATATCATTTATACGCCCAAAATTTTACCTGTAAAATAATAATTAATTAAGGCTTCGCTGATATACTCTCAATATAAGATCATACATATCGTGAACGTGAGATTTAAGAGAATTTATTTGTTAATATATATATAATATATGTACGTTACATATATATACACATTATTACGATCATCAAAGATATATTATATACCTATATATTATATATATATACATATACGCATTGGATGTTTTTTCTAAGAAGTTTCATCGATATAAAAATATGAAATTGTTGTTTACGTGCTGTTATTACAGGCGAATAGCTTTAATATAAATTGTTTAAGATAAATATTTATTTGACATATATTTCTGTTTTAAAGAATTTTTTTTTTCTTTTGTTTTTGAGGTTTAAATGAGAGAAATATTAAGTTAAATTTAAACGATACGCCGAGTGGAATTCTCTGCAGGCCCTACACATAGCTTAGGATCCGCAGGAGGCATATCGCAAATATATATTTTATCTGTACACTACTTTAATACTAATTATTTTTCAAGACTTACTAAGTATTCTTGAAAAAAAAAAAATGTTCGCTTGAACGACAGGGCGTGAATAATTATAAGTTGACGAAAAGTATCAGTAGATGCAGAAACAAAAAGAATAGTAACGTTAGTATAGATGCACTTATCCAGTGAGGCAGGAGTTTAGATCCCAAGATTAAAGACTGAATCGACGGGAAAAAAAGTAGAAAAACATACAAATATATCCGTAAAAATATAGAAATATAGAACTATATTAATCCTAGCGATATATTGATCAAGCGATATTAGTCTCTCGAGCATTTCATTTTATCTATTAATAGCAACATACGGTATTCGCGCCTTTGTCAAAAAAGAAAAAAAAAAAAAAAAAAGAAAAGAATCGGTAAGTTATAGATTTCCTCCTGATTATTGTACTATCCTCTTCATTGACATCTTATCGGAAAAAAAAAGAACACGGGACTCCTGACTCACGTGGTGAAACATATCCTTTTAGATGATTGTAGAACGATGAAACGGGCTAGTCACTTGCGCGTATTCGCGTCGGAGACACCCAAAGAACCATGTCGAGACATATCTCTGATGGCCGTAGGTTTTAGTCTCGCCGGCTGCGTTATTATTACTAATTATTATAAGCGGTATTTTTGTACAGTGTCTTACAGTGGTCGGGTCGTTACAGACGCAGCCGACGAGCCATTCACGGCGTAGCCATATTATATATAATATAAATATAATATACATATATTTATTTCATTTGTAGCGCGTAACACTCTGAGAACCTTTCTTTAATGTACACGTAATACATATGCGTGTACACGTATGTAAGCGTAAATTAAACAAGCAAATGATTTAACAAAAGGACAAAGAAAGTACAGGTAAAAACGATGTTGAAAAAAGAAAGAATCTGTTCGCATAAATAACAACAACAACAACAACAACAATAACAACAATGGAGCTTTTCTCTGCCTTTCTGTCTCTCTTTGTTTTTATTAAACTTGGGTGGATGTCTTCACTTGTATCTATCTCGGTGCTCTCTTATACTGTCTGCTTCGTTACCTCAAAGGCTCATTTTAACTTTCTCACTTTGCAATTACTGTATATGCTGGTATAGTACACACGTAAACATCACATACACACGAATGACATGCAAGCGTAGAACACGCGTATAATAAACCCTACAATACAATAACTACCTACGTATCTATATATATGTTATTTCCTCTTTGATTAAGGATAAGTAATTAATCTGTATAAGAGACACACGAAGATTGTATGAAATTGAAATACGAACGGGAAAGAAGGATCGGTACACACGTGTGTACTTACACATGCGTGCTTTTATCACAATGGACACATACACACACACACATGTACACACATACACGGAAAATCCATGCCTAAAATGACATATCGGTGTTACAACGTAAATATAAGTATGAATATAAATATATAGATATAAATATTATAATATTTAAATATTAAAACACAGGTACACACATGAAATTCGTCTGTATATGTCTATAAATATTGTTACATATATATATGGTCATTATAATGATAATTACTACGTGATATGTATTACGAAACATCTTTTTCTCGCAACGGTCCGCGATACGGGCATCTACTCAGATTCTAATGTCTATATGTCATTGTTTATTATGTCGTTAACAATTAACGTGTATATGTGAAACTCAAAACGAATAAAAAGTACCTAAGCATACGACCATTGTGATTTTCTTCTCTTGTTGACTCTTTTTATTTATAACATGCATTTTATAAATATTACAAACGATCTTTTTACAATAAAACGTGCATTAAGGAATAGCCAAATTATATGTTACAATAATATAGAAAAAATAATTTCTTTTAAAAAAAAGTATAAAACAGAGAATTTTAGAAAACGATAGAATTAAGAATTTAGAATTTTTTAGAAAACGATAGTTTTAAAATTGGGTGCAGCCTTTGTAGCTGCATCAGGTGCAGGAACACGAATCCAATGGAAGAATTTGGGCATTTCTTAAACGCAACGCTATTTCGACAACTATCGGAAAACTAATTGAAAATCGTAGGGGACCAATATCGCATGTATAAAGATGAAATTAAAAGATAAACCGCGAAAGCTGACCTCAACACACATGGACGACCATCGATCATAATGATCGTTATCCGTTCGGATATTCGTTTTAGCTTTTATTATTGAAACATAAGGTACTATTTACTATTGAAGGATAATTTACTATTGAAGTTAAGATTGAGATTCATAGAAAAAGACTGTTAAAAAAATTACAAAGTTTATTTCACATATACAATTACATATGTACAATTTTATTTCATATATTGAATACATATAATACTGTATATTTTTCCATATCTCTTTTATGAAATAAATAATTAAGATTTTAAAACAGCTAACGCTTCCGTGAATTTTAAACCTTCTAGTATATATGCTAAATTCTCCATGGATGCGTCTACATCTTCTTCCGCCCAAATTTCTAGCATATTTTTACATTGTTCGTACGGTGTTGGTTTCCCTTGGAAAAACGTAATCTAAAAAATATAAAGATTGTAGTTAGTGACCTTTTCTTTTTTTTTTTCATTAGGTTAGATTTAGACGTATTACAAAATTGATCTCTACCTCCTCACTCGTGTAACCAAACTTGGTTGCTAATTTCTTCCAATCGTTTTTCAGAATTTCCGATAATTTCGCCACCATTTCAGGTGTCACTTTCGTTAATTTTCGTCCTTTCGTATCCGTATTATCGACTTCAACTTGTTCACTTTCTTGTTTTAGAACATCTTCGTTAAATTCTTGATCGTTCACTTCTGGTGGTGGAGTCTCTTCCGTTTCTAATTTTATATCCGACTGTGTCTGCTTTAAGAGACAAAGATAATTCATTTTTAAATTTAAACTTTTCAAATTTAAAGATTTAATATAGATTACTGAAATAAAAGTATTATACTCACTGGACGATCCTTAGCAATTTTTTTAATCATAGTTTCGAGATATTCAGGAAGTTTATTAATAGGATAATTTCCGTGAACAAAAAAATGGGGACTACGTCTAGCTAATAATCTTAATGCTCGCCAGCCGAAATTTCCATCATTTACCTTTCTGTAAAAAATAAGCCGAAATGATGAGTGAATTTAATTATTGAATTTAAAAACAAAACGCAAATATATAAAAAAAATATTTACTTATATTCATCTTCTACCATTGCATTCGGATCTAATTGCATAATAGCTTCTTCAAAGTATGTTTCTAAAGACGGAAGGAAATCTCTTTCCTTGGACTTACATGCTTCAAGGTTATTGGGACACAAGTTCCATAACTTCGTGAGTTCCGGACTGTAAATTGAATTCAATTGTGTAATAATAAAATAAATAAATACGATTAAAACAATAAAAAAAATAAATACAATTTTTCCATAGTTACTTACTTTCCCATGTGATATTTTCCTACTGTTTGAGCATCTCTAATAACATCTCCAATTCTACGCCTTGGTCTCTTTGGTTTCCGTAATTCTTCTATGTCAGCACTAGAATCTGAAGTTGGTCTTTTGAATGGTGGACATCCTTCATTCTTCCAAGCATTCCAGTGCTCTTCGCGTTTCAGTATATTTTTAACAGTTTCAGTAAACGTTGGACCATCAGGAGGCGTTTCTGTCAGTAAGGCATACACTTGCTCTGTGGTTGCTTTTACCCAGTCTACTTGATCAGGTTTCAGTTCATGTGTTTCACTAGAAAATACAAAAATTATTGAGACTCTGGAATATAAATAGCCTGAAACACTATTTAAGGAAAGCAGACCTTGTCTCATAGCCACTGGCAAGGAAGCTTTGGAAAACAAACATTTATAGCTTTTAAAGTCATTTTACTAATAATTCATTAAAATTCATTAAAAATGTGCAATTCTACCAAGAGGAATTGTGAATTCGATTGTAATAAAATACAAATGTATGTAAAGATGTATATAAACTATAGATACTTACGCTTTAAATTTAACAGTGCTATTAAGATACTGGAAAAGAATGAGGAACTGCAGCAATACGTATCTTCTGAAATTTGAGTCAGATAATTGTAACTCCAATAATTTTTGATTCGTTAAATATTTTGCGAAGTAAGGAGTTTCCTTATGAGATCCTTCCATGGAAGAATCAATTTTAACACTCGTTGAAGGATAATTACGTTGTTCTTCCAATTTAAAAGATGAAAATGCTGACAACACACTTGAAGCATGCTAAACAAAAAAAAAATGGAATTAATTTATAATACAAAAAATATATAAATGCAAATACAACAAAAAGAATACAATAATTTATACTTACTGTTGAGAATACTTTCCAGTGCACTTTCAGGTATAGCTGATTAGGATTTCTAAAGAAATCTTGAAGTGCCCAAAATTTTCTGTACAAATTATAATCGATTGGCACTTTAGCTTCTGATTTATCATCATCCTTAGTTATTTGCTCCAAAGCATCTTCTTCTGATTTTTCAGAGCCAAATTCTGTATGATTTTCCAAATTGAATTCACTAACAATATTAAGACCAGATCTTTCAGAGAAAGGAAAAAACTTGGCCAAAAATAATAGAATTCTCCCACAAAATACAGTTTGTTGTGATCTAGACAATCTTCTAAGTAAGTCGTTGCACATCCTTAATAAATTGTTCTTACAAGCACTAAAGAATAAATCTTCCTTCCACACCACCACATTGTTCTCAACAAAAGTAAACAATTGTTCACATCTATCAAGTGTCATAGAATCAAATATATCACCAAGTAACATCACAGGCATACTTGCAGTTGCTAAATCTTTTCTGCATAATTCAATACAGAATGTAATGTACGTTTCAAGTAGATGCACGTTACTCGATGCATTTTCAGATAAGATTACAAGAAGAGTATCTCTCAGTGCCTGATCAATTGCAGCTTTTCTATCACTGTCACTTGTACATCGTTCAGCGCATTTCTTTTGAAATGTTTGTACATCTGACACTTTAAAACACTGTTGCAAATAATCCTAGAAAAAAAGAATGAAATATAAATAAAACTGGCAGACTAAAATACACTACATAACCTCAAAATTATTAATTACTTACGCTGTATTCTTTTCGTAATACTTCAAACATAGCCATTTTATAAAACAAATTTTTATAATTTATACTAATATTGCTATAGTTATCTTAAAATATGAACAATTTCTTTGTACTATATATATATATATATATATCACACAAATTACAAACTATCAACAAGATAACTCACGACATAACCTCCACTTCTACAGACGTCAATTGAATGCTAACCAGCGAACTATACTCAGTCTTTGATCCCCTTCCAATGAGCCATTATCCCCACCATACCTACATCTGCGCATGCGTAAAGTCATAGCGTCACAAAGTATATGAACATAGCTGTCTATATGTAATCTGTAATTTCATAAACTTTAACTGAAAAAAACATGCATATTATAAAAAGAATTAGAGAAGTCTGTCGAATTGGATACAATATAAAGACGAGATTTAAAAATGAAACTTCCTTTCACTTTTTTCGATTTTACTTTACTTTATTCTACTTCATTCTTCTACTACCTTAGTCTACTTTAGCTTACTTTACTTTATTTCCTCTTTACTACTCTTTACTTTCTACTCTTCCTAAATAGTATAAAGAAGAGTAAAGAGAAGAGTAAATCGAAAAGTAAAACAGAATAATGCGGAAAAATGCCGTGTAAAGTGGAGTAAAATAGAATAAAATAGAATAAATTAGAGTAATATAGAGTACCAGATACTCTTCAGTATAATTTAAATTTCAAAAAAAAAAAAAATAAAATTATTTTCTTTGATATATGAATCATAAATAAATGATAGAGTTGTGTATCAAATTTGAATATGAACATATTTATATTTTATTATATATAGTATGTATATGCATATAAATTCATTTAAAATTATTGTACATATTTGTCTTTGTATATAGATGTACCTTTATTAATAAAAAAACAAAACTTTACCAATTCTTTATATCTATTTTGCGTGAAATGCATTGATTCAGTTTTGAATGATGCGCGTAAAATATTTCAATTTTGCGCGCCGTTCTAAACGAAAGATCATACGCATCGCATCAACCAATAAATAATCTTTACTGAAGTTAAAATTACTGTACTCGCATTTCATACAAAAATGTTGCATATGTTGCATAAATTGGAAAAAAGTAAAAATTTCCTTGCTTTAATTCTTTTCATTCAATAAATAAAATTTTTACAATAATATTACGTCCGTAAAATGTAAAAATTTACGTCTGTAATTTTATACCTATAATTTTATTTCTTAGATTTTACTCTAATTTTAAATTCAAATTTAATAAATTTAATTTTTTTTAAAATAGACTATTTATAGACATGAATCTAGTTTATTATTATTAATAATAATAGGAATAAATAGACATGGTCAAGACATAACATACAGCATTATATAGTTATTTTACATTACATTACATTAATTTAGATTATGCCTTATCTTTAATGACAAATGTAGTTTCTAAGTTGCCTATAATTAAATATTTTAATAAACAAAAACATAACAAAATATAAAAATATCCCCTATAACTTGTAAAAGTTGTATGTATGAGACATTGTATCTTCACATGCCGCATCATCATATTTTGTTTCTAGTCAATGATTCTCGTGTTAAAAAGTAAGGTTATGTCACGTGTAACGTGTTTTGAAAACTATTGGAATGAATTTATATCATTAAATATTTATATTTATTTTATAACTATTAATAATATTTCAATAACTAAAGTAAAATAAATTTTTAAATTTATTTAATAAAAGAGACAATAATTATCCTTACATCATAACTTTTTTAAGTTTTAAATTAGAAATATTTTAAATCATTATTGTGTAATTATAAATAAATTAACAAGATCTAAACATTTTTAACAAATTTTTATATAATTATATAATTTTTAATTGTTTAAAAACAGGTGATTTCAAAATCTTTAAACTATGACACGATATGCAAGAGCTAAGGGTTCAAAAGCATCAAATGAAAGAACACCCAATGATGCTACACCATGGCATTTAATGAAGCAACAGTTAATTGAAAATACATCAAAGAAAGAAAAATCCTTTGAAGAAACTAAAACTGTTAAAGAACTGTTGGAAAATGCACAAAATATAAGTAATAATGTTGAAAATGTTCATGAATCTTGGGCAGAATTTCCAAACAATTTTGAAAAAGATAATTTTAAAACAAAAAAGATCAAGAAGCGAAAGATTATTAATGAAGTTGATAATTCTATATCAACCATAAAAAACAAAGATGAAACAAGTCAATCTAATGATACAAGTGATAATAAAAAAAGGAAGAAAGATAAACATATTTCAGAAATTGCAGAAAATAATACTGATGCAATCAGTGTAAATGAATCACAAAATAAAAAAAATATACTTTCCAAGCGTCAAAAACGTAACATGAAAAAGAGAAATTCGAATGAAAGTATATCCAAAATCATAGAAAATAATAATGATGATAGTGCATCAAAAAATATAAATAATAACAAGAATGAAAGTGAAAGAATTGATCAACCACAAAGAAAATTTGATAAAAACTTTCCAATTAAAAGTGTCACAAATAAATTTGGTATAAAAAAGTTTGACAGTCAGAAACGAAAAAGGAAACCACCTAAAATTCGGGATGACAAAGAACACAAAAGAAGAAAAGCAGATTTAGGCCCTTCAAAAATAATCATCAATGGTGTAGAATTACATATTGTAAAATTTGATGGATTTCCAGTTAGAAAAGAAGATGCAGATAGATTAAGTGATTTAAAACAGAAAATGATCATGAAAGGTAGATTGCATAAATAATCTTTTTACAGTAACACAATAACATTGTCTAACTATTCTCATTTATGTTATAGGTATTCCACAAAAAGAAATAAATGCAGCAATGAAATTGGAAAGGAGGAAAGCTGAAAAAGCATTAACTAGAATTAGGAAATGTGTATGTTTTCACTGTCGCAAATCTGGACATAATTTATCTGATTGTCCTGAACTTGGTTCAGAGCAAGGAGGAACTGGAATCTGCTTTAAATGCGGATCAACAGAACACACTCATTTTGAATGTAAAGTTGCCAAGCCAATGGAATTCAGATATGCAACTTGTTTCATTTGTCGTGAACAAGGACATATCGCTAGACAATGTCCCGATAATCCTAAAGGAATTTATCCTCAAGGAGGTGCTTGTAAAATTTGTGGAGATGTTACGCATTTAAAAAAAGATTGTCCAGATTTGATTAAAGAAAAGGAAGAAAATGCCGTTACAGTAAATACAATTACAAATGGTAATTTAGAATCCTTAGAAGAAAATATAAATAATATAGATAAAAAAGATAATAAAAAGACTAAAAAAATAGTGAAATTTTAGTATGTCAAAAAATAGAGATAAATTTTTGTATATAATTCAAGGAATAAATAACTTGCAATGTAAACATAAGATTTATTGAAAGGTATATATATGTTTGACATGTACATTATCTTTATACATACACTTTAATGTTATTCAATCCATCATCATAAAAAATCTGATATCAAACAATACATATTATAATTTATGTATTGCCTATTTACATTTGAATTTTTAATTCAGTTAAAACTTTTTACATATTAATTGTACAATGTAACCATGAAATTATTTATTCATTTAAATAAATTTTTCTAATATAAAGAAATAAATTACTTATTAATCTCGATGATATCAGATTTTTTTCTCTCAATGTACAGAGGACAAATTATAAAGGTATATTTAGATATACAATATATTATCTGTACATAGTAGTAGTTTCTTACGCATACATTAATATTGTTTGCAAAATTTATAGTATTAATTTTAAATTTGTATTTTCATATTAGATTTGTTATACAAATGCCATGTAACAGGTAGAAAGGTACAATTAATTTTTTATTATCATTTTTTAACACCTAAATAAATGTCGCAATTTCAATTCACACAATTTTTATCTCATTATATTACGATGCCTGTACAATTTGTATGCTTAAAATAAACATTATCATTTGAAGTAAGAATTTTATGAATATATATAATATATATTTATATCTGTATCTATATTACATTTGTCCTTATACTGTTCTATATATAGACTCTCTATATTTTATATTAATCTGCTACATAAAAGTTATACTTTTATCACCTCTAATGGCAGACAGATATTACTACTGCAGTGATGATTAAGTCAATCCATGATGAGAAATATCTGTTTATCTGTATCTATTAAATTTTTAATTTATATATTAGATAATTGAATTCTTGATATCTTTATTCACTGCAATGCCATTCACTCTATCGTTATTTAAATAATTCCTTATAATCCTAATTATATGTAATTCCTTAATTGTATATGATCATAATTAAATTAAAAGAGTGAATTTATTGCAACATATAATGAAAAAACCTTAATTATTTTAGAATTGTTAGGAGTTATGCGATATTACATAGTAAGGAAATATATGAAAATGTATTAATATTTTTTTCAAAAATATGCTAAGATACAAAAATAATACAATGAAAGAAAATTTCCCAACTTCCTTGAAAAAATCTATTAATTAGTTACAAATGAAGAATATCAATAAGGAAAAAATCATAATACATAAAAATACATCATCTAATAACTTTTTTTACGAATTACGCAAATTCTTTTAATTTTTAATAAAGATAACGATTATAAATAAATTCGATTTTTCGAATCGGAAATTTAGGGCTTTTTTTATAAACCTTCAAAATAAAATATATACACTAAACTATTTTGAAATCTATCGAAAAAAATATATTAAATCACCATGCAATATGAAAACTTATAACAAAGTCATTTCATTAATAAATTTTGAGCTCATTATTCATATTGCATACCGATCAAAAACTCGAATGCTCTCGATAATTCATAAAAATCTACCATTATTTAATATTTCATAAATATACATATTTATCATTAAAAAAAAAAATGAATTAATAATTAATAATTAGAAATAATTAAAAATTCAAATTTAGATATGAAACATAAAATTTAAGATATTAGTTGTTTTACTTTAGCCTCTTATCTTGATTTCCAATAAAATTAATTTTTAAAATTTTGTAATTGACAACTACACAAATATCTTTATTTTATTTGTATTACAAATTTTCCTGTAAAATTTCATTCAACCGTGTCATTTCTGAATGTCATTTGCTTTTACGTCCTCGATACATTAATTAATACATAATTTATTTTATATAATTTTTAAATTTCAACAAAATTGAAAGTAATCTAATAGATTTGTTAATTACGCTTCCAATCATTATAATATAATAAAATATATACACTAAATTATTTTGAAATTTATAATTTTGAACATATATACGTATAATTTATACTTATAGAAAAAACTTTACGTTTACAAATAATACAAAATCAGAAAACAGTTGAATGTATCAATATCTTTTACCATTTAATGTCTTTGGTATATAACACTTGTAATTATTGGAACCAATTATAAAATTAAGAAGTACCGATAACTAACATTTTCAATTTTGTGATTTCAGAATATGTACGCAAATTTCGAAAATTTTCAATATTGTATTTTTTATCAGAATGTACCTGCTAGGTAGCTTCAGCTTTGTGTGCTGATTCTATAATTTCCTTGAGACAGCGACCGAATTCTTCGATTATAAGTCTTTGTGATGTTTCATCGTCAAACATGTTACGTTCTGCTTCATCAGCTTGTGCCATTAAGCACTCGCACGTTATTTGTACTACTTTATCAGTCAAAAAGTTAAACGGTTGTCTATAAAAAACGTAAATATATTATAAATATAATTCGTAATACTTCAATCTTTCCGTTTTCTTTTACTTATTTAATTTTTTAAACATACCTTGCACCAGTATTTGACGTTGCAGGAGGCCTAAAAGCCATTTCTGATAATTGTAATTTTGTCTTATTTAATGTAAGTTGTGCAGTTCTTACTTCGGCTGCTTCGGCTAAGTCTTTTAAAGATTTTTTCTCCAAATTCGGTTCTTCTACATTACGACACCCTATACATTTACAGTTAGCAGAGCAAGGAATCTTAGCCTGGAAAAGTAAAAAAATATTTTAATAAAAACATTTTATTATCTTGCAAAATATTTATGCTTAATTAATAATTAAATTTTAATATTAATTAAAAGACCTCATAACATTCACAATAATTCTTCAAACATCCACTTCGTTTACAGTTGCAGCCTTTATTATGTCTACGTATATCGTCACCCGTTTCACGACCTTTGCCAATTTTTGGACGAAAAGCATTTGGATTACGTTCCAAACATGATTTAATAGCACGTTGTCTTTCTTCTTCATTTCCAAGATTATTAGAGCAATTATTACAGTTACACATGTGACAAAATTCTCCATTCGCAAAACAATCACAATATCTGCAACAAAACATATTTAAAACTTTCCCTTTCATTTATTAAAGTACATTTATTAAAACGATAATTTATTAATGTAAAATCAAATATTTCTTACATCATAGAACGATCTTTTAATCAAAGACAGAATGTGACTTCTATTGTGGACTGTCATTTTACAATAGATATAATTTAAAAAAAGTGAAAAGCAATACTTGATGTTCAATTTTTAAAAATAGTAATACTAAATCATACTAATATATATGCGAAATAATAATACTAATCATACTAATATATATGCGAAATAATAATAATATATATGCGAAAATTATGCGAGTTACTTTACAATTTTATGTTATCTTATTATTTTACTTACAACTTAAGACATTGTGATTTAGTGCAATTGCATGGTTTTCTTGGCCTAATACCATTTGGCTCAACACTAGCATATGATCTTTGAGAAGTTTTATTTTCTAAAACAGATCCCACAGATATAGTCCCTGTTGAACTCTGTAAATTTTGTGAATTACTTAGTAAACCGGGTGTAGCTTGTTGAGATTTCAATTTTGTATCATCTGCTGACTGTAAAAGACAAATAATATTATTCTAAGCATAGCATGAATATACTAATGATAGTAATATACTAATACTAAACCTGTTGTTGAATATATTGAGCTGGTAAAACTACAATATTTCCTACATTTGAATTAGTTGAAAGAACAGCCTGTCCAGATGCTAATTGACTTAAAGCAGATGCTGGGATAGCAACTGCATTTTTCGATTGGTTGCTTACTGTTGCAGTTGCAGGAATTAATAATCTTTGACCACTTCCTGTTAATGTAGCCTTAGGTGCAACAGTTCTTAATGACTGATTGTTTGTATTTAATGGAACTACCTGTATTTTGTTTGGAAAAAAATATACATATATATAATATATATCTAATACTGTTTTTTCGTTATTATACGTTTTATTTCTACAAACCTTAACAATCTGTTGTTGACCTCCTAATTTTTGGCCGACTCCAACAGTTTGTAAAGTTGTTTGTGATTTCGTTTTACCCACAGTAACAACATTTGTAGTACCTGATGATGGAGTACTAACTAATCTTACATATTGCACCTTGAAAAAAAATGTATAATTAAGATATCTAAACTTTATTAATATAAAGAACATTTGGCAATGCTTTGATTTTGTAAAGAAAATATTACTTGTCTGCTAGGCATTTGTATTTGATGTACTTGATTAGATCCAGTAACAATATTTTGATTGGCTGGTATTCTAATAACTTGTCCACTTCCAAGAACAGTTCCAGGTTTTAAAGAACTCTGTCAAAATATTTTATTAGCATAAAGGAATTTAAAAGTATTAAAATCGCATTAAAAACATAGTTCAACTAACCTGCCGTATAATCACTTTCTGTGGACTTTGTTGAACAGTTGATTTATTAGATGAGGAAAATGTTGATTGTTGATTTGAAATTGTTGAAGTTTTAACCTGTGCATTCATTGTAGGAGCAGGTAATATCTTTGTCGGTGATTTAATTGTATTACTTGGAACTAGGGTCATTTTAGAGGTTTGAGAGCTCGATGATTGCACTAATTTATTTACAATTATTCCCTTTAATAAAATAAACACGAATTAATATTTCTAATGAATATTTATATAATTATTTAATAATGGAAAGAAGCTTTTTTAATTCTTCTTTTCCATAAAAAATAAGAAAATAATACCTACCTTTTTTTTTATACTCACTTGTTTCTGCGGTGACGAGGGTAAAATATGTTGGACTTTATTAGTGGAAAGTAATCCCATTTGCTGTGCTTGTGCTAATGTTATAGTTTTTGCTGGACTTGTAACATCTTGACTTGATGTACTATTGTTTAAAAATTTTATTGCTTGTGTTTGTTGATTTTCATTTTGAGAACTAGTTATAAGAACTTGTCCCGATGGTGTTTGATTTCCAGCTAATATCATTTTTGTATATACCTAAAATAATATTAAAAAAGAAAATTTAATAAATATTTCAATCCTAAGTATAATGAAAGTATCATTAATAATCTTACATTTCGATGTTGAGAAGTACTCTGTGCAGTACGTTTTATTGCAGACTGAACTGTTTTTGCATTCTGAACACTTCCTAATGTGATATTACCTGAATGACTAGTTGCCATTACAGGTTTGTTAGGTTGTGCAGATCTCAACTGAACTATATTATCAGCAGATTTTGCTGTTATGAGAGTTTGAGCTAACGATTGTAACTGACCAGCTGATGCTGTTGATGGATGTGAAATTTTTAAGATTTGGCTAGTACCTTGACCGCCAGCGGGAGATACTATCATAATAGACTGACTTTGTGTTACTTGACCAACATTTGACTTTACCTATTAAAAAGATCAACAATCAACATATAATATATTATTATATAATTATAAAGCACTTAAGCGTAATATTTTATACCTGTACTGTAGATGCAGGAAGCCTTTGTAACGTTGGCTTTGTTTGAAATACAATATTTTGATTATTTTGATTTGCTGTCGTATAGATAATGTGTTCTTCTTGAGCTTGTTCAGAAACTTCAGTCATTTCCACATCAGGTACAATCGTTTCAGTCTCAATATTACGTCCAATTATTATATGTTCTTCATCTGTTGTCATAACTTCTTCAGCATTCATGCATTCTAATTCAGCCTGAATATTTGCAAATGCTTCAAAGTCATTGGATGAATATTGTTCATTATTATGTGACAGAGTCAATGCACTTAAGTCTCCATCACCAAGTGTACGTGAATCAAGAGCTAATGGTTCAACCAATGCTCTAGCATTTTGTCCTTTATTTACAGACATGATTACGTTCCTATTCAAAATATTACTCGTTGTAGAAACTTATACATTTAAAATGTGAAGTATAAGTATGAATGTATATATATGAATATGAATATATATATATATACATACAATATACTTCACAAAATTTAGTTAACATTTATATGTACAATGTATAAAGCAGAGTTGTATAAATTTGTAACAAACTCATCTCTTTTATTTAGATACATTATATTTTTAATTGTGTAAACTTTCTTTTATCATAAAATTATAAACAAAAACATTATATAGATATACAATGATATCTTCTTAAAAGACTTAAAAGACTTAAATATTCATTATATAACTGAAGACGAAAACAAAACATACGATACAAAGATTTCTATGCATACATCTCATGCTAGTATAAAATATTAAATTACAAACTGCAAATAGTTTTGACAATATTTAATATCTTTTCTTCATGTACACTTATTTACATCTAAAATAATTTTACGTATGTTGAAAAAGTTTTCCAGATGTCTGTAATATGTATTTCATGGATACACAGGTTAGAAATTCATACGATGTAAACTGTTCCTATTATGAAGTTCGAAACGTTGTTAGACAGTACATGGAAAAAAACATTGTAAACCAACGGAAAAATATAAAACGATTTATAAAATGACTTAAAAACGGAACGAATCTACGAGAATTTAAAAATTCAAAAATTCAAATCCTCAAGGTGCAGATGTGTCTTTTTTAAATGCAAAAGCCAATAGGATTATCTACAAACATGTCCAACGACATAAAGGCCAAGTGTAATTCGAATTTTCAAAAATTCGAACAATAAAATTTGAATAATGAAGAAAAATTCGAAGGATAGTCCACTTAGGAACATTAGCGCCATTTATTGCTCGAACGCGCCATTTTCCACGAACTGAATTTCTCTGTGAATTTTAACAGCCTCGACGAATTTACAACAGACCGACATTGACGCACGAAAAAAAACTAAACGTTCAACATTCCAACTGCTAATAAAAAATAAATTTTCTCTAAATATTCACCATATAATCGCGTAAAATATAACTTAACCTATAACTTATCATTTCATATGAGGTACATACAGTGCTGGGTGGGGGCGTGCCACGAAGCTTATTGCAATTGCAACAAATTACACAGAAATGATTTCTTATGTACTCATCAACCATTTAAATTTCACCTGAATGATTTTTTGAATAAATTAATCACACTTGTAACACGTACCTGGGTATTCCTCCAATATCTCGAATTTGTTCAAAATCACGCGCCCACCATTGCTGTCCCACAGTGCACTACGCACCGCTGTGTACAAACAGACCCAAAGGTCGTTTAGTATTAAAATTTCAAAGTGAAATGAGAATGACAAGCTCGTTGTTACTATACAGTTAAATATTTTCCTGTGTGTAATTCATCGAAACCGGACGTTTTACTTAATCAATTGGATATTACATCAAAACCGACCGATATTTTCGCGCACTTTGCAAAATTTCGATTTCGCCATTTTCACCCTTCCGCGGCTAAAAACACGTCAGCCCTTTAGCGCCCTCTTAGGCCAATAAAAAACTAAGTGTTCCAAAAACTTGAATATTTTGAATGCGAAACATTTCATGAAAAGTTATATATTCTTACAAATGTAGCGTTTTTATCTGTAAATATATACATATATACATATAAAAAAAGGGAGATCGATCTCAAATAAAAACATTAAATTTTACTTTCTCTCACTTACGCGATAATTTACTTCTTGACCATTGGTATCTAACGAATTCTATATTTAAAAGATAGACATTTCTCTGATAGAGAAGCACAATACTAATTTGGTAGTTAATGATTGTCTAATTGGGCAATAGAATAAACTTAAATGTTAGAACTGTTTCTTTGTAGCAAAGATATCTAATTACGTTTAATTCTCTTTGTAGCAAAGATATCTAACTACTTTTAATTCTCTTTTTGTTAAAAACAATTTCTCAAAATAAAAATGAAATTTGAATATTAATTACGTAACTTTTTATATAAAAAAATATATTTTATATAAAAGAGATAGTATGCAAGAGTATAAAAAAAAGAGATAATATGGAAAGAGTATAAAAATATTTATACGATTATAATATTTATAAAAGTATAAATATTTTATAGGAGTATAAAAATATTTTGTATAAAAAAACATTTAAATATATTTCTCTTGCGAAAATATTCCCATATTTGCGATCATAATTTCATTTCTGAGGTTTATATATCTTTCAATTGACAATAATAATAATAATAACAATATATATATTTAAAATTGAGATAATGGTATTTATTTTATTAATTTATAATTTTGGCGACAAAATACAATATGGTAGAATCAATGAGATATTAGAATTGCAAATGAATAATAAAATTACGTCCGTTTATACGTTTATATACGTTAAATTTCACAGAAGTTCAAAACATAATTAAATACAGATTATACACGCTTACAATAAGTACATATAAACTAAACAGAATATTCAGTCAATATCTGTTAAAATACATATTACAACTTATACTACATGACTTTCATTTTCTATAAATATTTCATCTATAAAATAGAAACTGATACATAACTTATAAATATATAATAATTTAAAAATATGCATTATTTCCGTTTGACTGTGAAATTTATGATTTATTCTTGCCTTAATCAAACATAGAGTAACATACTTGTTATACTGACCGTGCTTCAAATTAAGTACTTTACTAAGTCTTTAAATTATGGCACACAAACTGTGAAACCAGATTTACAAGCAAGTTAACGAAAATTGTATTGCATTCAATCATAAATTATTCATGCAAAGTGCGTTAACAAACGAATTACAGTGACCTTTTGTAAAGCGCCATCTCAAATTATATCGCGATATGTTTCTTTAATTGTTGTATATATTCGTAAATAAATATGATTATGGCAATATATATAAAGCTAAACTTCCATAGTACGAAGAGTATCGTTATATAGTTCACTTCTACATCCAAGGAAAATTTATATATTTCGTTATAATTATAAAATGTAAAATTTCTCTTACTACTATTATAACAATTTATTTTTTTTCTTTTATAGTTACAACATTTGGTAAAATTTACTTTTATTTATTTATTGTTGTAGCACTATAATATATTTTCTAGCTACTAGCATAGTTCGTGATTGTAATAGGCGCAAAAGTCATCTTTTTGGTTATTCATGTAGAAAAGATGGTGGTGACAGCAGCCTCTGTTCGTCAACAACTGACGAATTTAGCATATTCCGGAGGATCTCATAAAGATCAAGCAGAAAAGTAAGCTTGTTAAATGGCTTATAAAGTATGTTTTTGGAAATATGTCATACAAATGATGATACTTACAGGTATCGAGGGATTTTGGACTCAATACTATTATCGTCCAGCGAAGAAGCGATGGATGCTTTGAAAATATTCATTGAAGCAAGTATGTTACGTTTTTTTCATAAAAAGAAGAAAAATATAATTTTCTACTATTTAATAGTAACTATTACAAATATTTAACATATATATGTATATATATATATCAAAGTGTTCTAAATTCATGACTTTCTGTACATACATAATAATTTATTAAATTAAACGTCATATCCTCGCGGTTTTTTTACTTAATTTTTTAAAGGTTTTTATGTAAATATCTATATGTCTCCTTTCTTTTAAGTTTTAGATAATTTTAATCTGTATCCAATGTTTTCTTAGTATGTAATACAATGACAAATACTTTTTGTTTTACAGTTGTAAATGAATATGTAAGTTTGGTCATTTCGAGACAAGTTTTAACAGATGTCAGTAATCGATTATTACTTTTACCTGATGAAGTATCAATGGCAATTTCACATTATACATTAGACAAGGTAAGCTTTTATATATTAGATGAATATATTAAATATAATAAAAGGTTATTTATTAATGCTTTAGATACAACCAAGAGTGATCTCATTTGAAGAACAAGTCGCTAGTATAAGGCAACACTTAGCAAAGATCTATGAACGTAATCAAAATTGGAGAGAAGCGGCTAATGTTTTAGTTGGAATACCATTAGAAACAGGGCAAAAGTAAATATAAAAGTTATTTTTACACACTACTAATTCCGATTGTTTGATGTAATTATTATATTTATCCACAGGCAATATACAGTTGATTACAAGCTTGAAACTTATCTTAAAATTGCACGATTGTACTTAGAAGATGATGATCCAGTACAAGCTGAAGCATTTATCAATAGGGCATCTCTTTTACAGGTAAACAGTATTTAAATTTATTTACACAATATATAACTATTACACCTTAAAAAATAAATTTATTTTATGCATCTTCAGGCTGAGTCAAAAAATGAACAGTTACAAATTTACTATAAAGTTTGTTATGCCAGAGTATTAGATTATAGAAGAAAATTTATAGAAGCAGCTCAAAGATACAATGAATTATCATATAGATCTATTATCCATGAAGATGAACGTATGACTGCACTTAGGAATGCATTAATTTGTACAGTATTAGCTTCTGCAGGTAAGGATTTATCTTATATTCTTTATTTTGGAAACAATGTATGAACTTCATACTAACACTAGGTCAACAAAGAAGTCGTATGTTAGCCACATTATTTAAAGATGAGCGTTGTCAACAACTTCCTGCTTATTCAATTCTTGAGAAAATGTATTTGGATCGTATTATTCGACGTTCCGAATTACAAGAATTTGAAGCCTTATTACAACCTCATCAGAAAGCAAGTACAATTGATGGATTGGGATCAACCATTCTTGACCGTGCCGTTATAGAACATAACTTATTATCTGCTAGTAAATTATATAATAACATAACGTTTGAAGAATTGGGTGCTTTGTTAGAAATTCCACCAACGAAAGCAGAAAAAATTGCTAGTCAAATGATCACAGAAGGTCGAATGAATGGATACATTGATCAAATTGATTCTATTGTTCATTTTGAAAGTAAGTTGTAATTATTAAGTTTTATGAATTCAATATAAATATTTTCTAACAATGATTTACTTTTTTATGTAGCACGTGAAACCTTACCAACGTGGGATAAACAAATACAATCACTTTGTTATCAGGTAAACCAAATAATAGAAAAAATTGCTCAAACTGAACCAGAATGGATAGCAAAAGCAATGGAAGATCAGATGGTGCATTAATATAAATTTTTTTAATATTAAATAAACATTCGTACACACAGATCGAAACAAAAACATTAAACATTTGATACATAAACTAAAAATTTGAAGTCAATAAAGATTATTGTGATTGTACAATGATCTTTATGCATTGCAAGTAATATAACATGCTCGTTAAATTTTATTTTAATATGCACGAAATTAATTTCTATATTATTAATAAATATTGATTTTTCATAATAAAAATAAAAATATCAAAATTTATGAAATACTTCACAATTTTGGTTTATAGTTATAATTATTTTATAAAATTCAACAATATAATAAGTATAAAGTGCGCAAAACAATTTTATTAATTAAGCACACTTAAAAAGTTATTTGTTTAACGTTCGTTTGTGACAGTTATAAAATTCACGCAAACCATACTTCAGCTGAGGGAATATTGTAATTGTCTCGTGTAAATAAAGCATTCACACTGCACATAAAATAAAATTTTCTTTATTTTATGAACTAATCAAAGCTTCATTTAGATTTTGCTGAATATTTAACAACTGTTGATGTATAGGAGAATAAAATTGTATGTGTACAAACCTCTTATGTATTATAACTTTGCTACACAAAACAAAACTGTGGAATTATTTATAACTAAAAATATTTATTATTATATACTATTTCAGAAATGTAAAATCTTCATGTAAGACATCAGACTAAATTATTGGAATCTTCGTGATCAAACATACATTTCTCAATAGATTTCAACCTTAAAATAGCCACACTGGCAGTACTGTTTTGTATTGATTATTCAGGTAGGAATGAATGTTGTTACATCTCATAAATGAAAAATCTATACTTGATATTTGACATTATTTAATCTCAAGTCCCTGTACGTAGTTGTTTATTAAGTGCAGATATTTTTACAATAAATTCGACTATTAACATCATTTGTGTAACTATGAGAATGTATGTGGAGCATTATATTATGTGTTATTTTGAAATCAACCATAGAGCTTGTAATTATTTCGTAACTTGGTAACATTTATTACTGAGTTGAAAAATATATTTCCAGAAATGTTTAAATACACTTTTTTTCTAATTTAATTTTATTCGTATGTGTAATCAACATTACTCCGTAACTATATTTTGTATAATTAGTTCAGAGTAATTAACATTTGATTTTATTAAACTGCTTGTTCATGAGGAACTGTTGACAAGCTGCATCATTTTTATAAAATATGAGAGAATCATAGAAGAAAAAATAGAACACTTCTATTTTAGTTAAGAATTTGTAAATCGTATTGTTCATGATAAGATATTGTTACCATACCATGTTTATACGTGGCATCTATTTTGGGACAAACCTATCTATATGTTTATAGGCAATACTTTGAAGCATGTACTGTGATACTGTCTTTATGACACAAAGGCCATGAAATGACCTTGAAATTAGTCAAGTCCTTTTGTGTCTGATTCATGTTTAAGCTTGAAGATCTAATGCAAGACCAATCTTGTGACCGCCAGAGCCAAAGTTCTTTCCATCAATATTTGTAGAAAGTGTTAAAGTTACACCTAAATATATTAAAGAATATGTACATCAAATATTGAAATATTTTTTATAAATAAAATGTATACAGTAAATAATTATCAATAATCAATTTGATTTAATGGATATATTAGAATGATTGATGAAAACATATAATATCAAATATAATTCTGTTACTCTACCATAAGTCTTTTACTAGAGTAACATTTTGTATAATAAACATCACTTACCATCACGTAATTTTTGTTGATATCCTAAACCAACTTGAAGATTAGAATTAACTTTAGCTCTGATAGATGCATCTGTATCAAGGTTATATTTTGTAGCAATTCCAAATTGTGTCACATTGTTACTTGAATTCCACTCCAGATTAATTGCACCTTCTAATTCTGGTTTTACTTTATGGTAAATGAGGCCACTAAAGTCACAGCCATTATTTCTGCAAAATCCACAGCAGGATATTAAAGAACTTCATCATTAAATTATCTTTTCTCAATATTTATAACAATTATACATACACTGCTGCATGAAGAGTAAAGTCAGATGCTTTGTATCCAAGTGCAAAATTATTTTTTGTCAGTTTGTTTCTCTGCGTATCAAAGCAAGCCTGATATCCAGCCAACCAACCTAAAATTTAATCATTGCATCATATGACATAACAAATTTTATTTAATCTATTTTATTATATCATAATCTTACATCATTTTTTCTGGAATAACAGGATACTGAGAATAAAAAGGAGAAGGACTTGAATGGAAATTACAAGAAATCACATGGGAGCAACAATATAACTATTAAATATTTAATTTTTCAAGTTCAGTACTAAAAATAGAAAATGATATAATATTACATACTAATATAAATAACAAAAATCTATACCATAACTTAAGAATATCTTTTCTTTACCTTGATATCCTACAACAGTTGATGCATTTACCAAAGGACCAGCAGAAAGACTAAGATCAAAATCAGCATTGGCAGATACATTATCATGTTTGTATGAAGTCTTTAGTTTTCCAGTCTTGGTCCTACAACAAAACAATTATATGTTTCTCTGATTATGCATTAAAATAATATTTTAAATTATTTCACTTTAAATAAATATTAATATAAATACAATATAAATATCAATAAATAAGGTATTTTACCCTGTTTGTGGAGAAAAGGTACAGCCATAACCAAGAGTAAGACCTTTGAGCAATTTATCGGCAAAAGTAACATCAGTAGCAAGTGTATTATCAGTATTCCACTTTTCACTAAATTTTAATCCGTAGTCACTGATACTATATTTAGTTTCTAAAGTACCAAATACTTTTCCACTATCTTGATTAGATACTCCACCACTGGAGAATTCTACACCAGACTTAGTTTTTGTTTTTACATCTAATTTGATTAAACCAAAATGATATCCACTGGAAAATAAGTCACGAGCACTTTTGCCTAAATCACCATATGTTGGTGGTGCCATGATCTATGTAAAAATATTAAATAATTACATAAAATTAAATGTTTTGATTAACGATTAGTGTATATAATCCAAACAATATTTTTATTTCTTTTTATTTTAGCAAAAACAGTATATTTTTACTCATATATGAGCAAAAATTATATTTTTAAAAAAATATATATTTACACTTGAGATGCATAATATTAAAGGACTAAAATGATAATGATATCTAATCTGAATAAGATAAGTAATCTAAAAACTTCAAATCTCATAATCAATAAAAGGACATGTCTATTGTAATTAATTTACAGTTATATTTTTAAATTACAAAATGAATAAAAAATGAGATCTAGTTAATGATAGATTGCCAACAATGTATCGCGTAAGTGTCGCAAATTTCTCTCAAAATTGTTTAATATGTATTTCGTATATTTAATACGTATAATAGAAAAATAAATATCAAATTAATTATATATTTTCTGACAAAAATTCCAATACGAATAATAAATTATAGAATGAAAAGTTGTTATTATTAGAAAAAAAATAGAAAATATGTTAAGTAACAATATGTAATTAATTTAACAATAATATAGAGCAAAAATGGAGTGATATTGACCTGTCTTGGTATTACATAAGGAGTAAATCAGTGATTTCCAATTTTCAAAAGTGAATTGAATTTTATACTGTCACACACGAAATCGTCCAATAAAAACAATGTGACAAATAGGATCACAAAGAAAAGTTCAACGCGTTCAAAATTCATAGATTTGCAAAATTAATAAGAATAATTTATAACACTGCCAGACGACAGTCCAACGACATTGCTAGCAATTCATGCCGGCTTTGCAAATATTTAATTTCTTTTACGCATACCGGCGCGGTCTGTGCACGTGAACAAAAAATTTGACTTAAATTTACGTTGTACGATTGACGAAATTCATTTGTACTTACTTATGTTCTATGTTATAATACACAAGTGCAGAAAACTGCGTGACTTCGACTTGGAATTGCGTACGTGAGACGATATACGAACTGGGAGAGGAAAATGGAACCTGCGCGCAACTATGCTTGCGCATGCGCAGAATACTCTCGAAACAAATTATAGTCTATTTTTATGTAAAAATTTTAATAAAATACATGGAATAAAATCACATTGTATAGACAGAATGATATTTCTCTTCATTAAACGAGATATACTATGCAATTTAATTTTCATATTGATTTACCATTTAAATATTACGTAACCTTGAAGATCTTGCTCATAGGCGTGGGTTTTATATACATCTTCCATTTATTGAGCGTTCAGTAAAAGATAAATAAATGGAAAAATATTTATCACTCTAAAAAGTATATAAGCCACATATCCAATTCATGTCATTATCAAGTCTCAATAAATCACCAACCAATAATAAATTATTTCTTTACTGCTAAAAATTATGTAGCTGTTATATCTCTCTTTTTATTAGTAAATAAAATTCAATGAACAGGTTACTATTATAAATTGTCTACGACTACGACTATGTTAATTTTAAACGTACCCTTAAACATGTATTATATTTTACAATTAGTGTAGTTAATACATCGAAGAAAGGAAAACATTTGTAATTTCTCTTTTTTTTTCTTTGCTTGAAATCAAATTAATTCAAAAACCAGAACAAAGAGACGAAATTAATAGAATTTGTTTCAATCTTTAGTGTATATAATAACAATTATATATCAAATTAGTTATCCAAAAATATCTACTGTTCTAGAACTTTCGTTAATACGTCAATCTTCAAATTTCTTCTGTCTCTATTCAAAAGGTTGCTCACTGAATTCATATTCTTCTTTCTCTTCCGTAGAAAATCGTATCAATAATGCAGTGAAAAAAATCATTGGAATATACACGAATTATATGTTTGTATATCTCTTATGTTTTGACCATCTCGTAAAATTGTCGAAGTAATTAAAACTGCATATTTCAGGATCCTAAAATAGAAATAGTTGCTCGATGCAGAGTATGTATGTATGTATGTAGCTACTGAGAACCTACGTGAACCGAGACTCTTCCCGAAAGACGATGGTGAACGATCTAGATTATACTTTGGCAAACCCCTTCGTATATTTTTAATAAGGCGATTGTATATATAAACGTCCGTACGAAATTAATTTTCAGTCTGTTTGTATTCTTCTCCTGCTGTAGATCGTGTGATTCAAACGCAAAGGAAGAAAGCGTACATATACAAACGAATTGGGAGATATTGTTTTGGTACCAATATTGATTGATTGTTGATCAACCATGTCTCAGAAAAGCTCGGTATGTTTAAAATTTAATTATTAAAATCTGCTACATTTTTTTACTGATTCGCTTATTTACACATATTTACCGTTTTATTTACTAACGTAAATACGTCAATAATATATTGTTGATTAAAAGATGTTGCAATTATACCATATAATGTTAAAATTCAATATGAATTTAATATATTCAAATTTCGTATGACATTCCTATAAGTAAAACAAGTATTCACTGGTCGTTGATTGATTAAAAAGTAACGAAGGAGTAGTTTATAATACGAAACTATCTACCGTGTCTTACGAAATCGATGTATCAAATTGATTTGTTTGCATATGTATATTGCTATACATGTACAGCCTACAATGATCTTATTTTTCACATTTATGCATTTATTGCATGAAAATTATTTATATTAGGAATGAAAGCAATAATCAAAAATTTTCAACTACAAATCAGTTTTTCAATGATATAAAAATAGTACAATATATATAAATTATTAATTTTTTTTATTAGAAAGCATCAGCGGAGAAAAACGCGGCGACATACAAAATTCTTCAGAATGCTAAAGTAGGGAGGTAAGAAACTATTTTTCTTCTTAAACATAGTAGAATGCACACTTCTCAAACATAGTAGAAACTTTAATATTACATATTATGTTACATTACAATTTAAATGCACATCGTTTGAAATTTTTGAAATACTATTTTCCAGATACATGGTAGCTAACAGAGAGTTGGAGGCAGGCGAAGAAATTGTCACAGAAATGCCTTTTATAGTCGGACCAAAGGCATTCTCGTACTCTTTGTGTCTTTCCTGTTATGCATCGTGGCCTCCATCACTGTACGATAAACCTCTTTGCTCAAAGTGCGGCTGGCCTGTATGTTCGGAAAATTGTGAAAACCAACCGCAACACAAGGATTACGAATGTCAGGTAAAAATCATAAGAGCATTAAAAAAAAGCAATTAGTACATTCTAAACTACCTTCCACTTTCTACAATTAACACTTGCTTTCGAATAATTTTCATATGCTGCAATCGGAAGTGGAACCTTTGCTAACGGTGTATGGCTAATTTGCACTACATCATAAAATATAAGAGACGAAAAAAGAATTGTTAAAAATAAAAAATGAAAGTGTAAAAATATTAAAAAACGTGCGTGTTAAAGATATGGTAAATATTTACATATCTTGTTCGTAGGTATTTGTACAAGCCAAAGAGAAATTCAATGTGCAAGCTGTTTTCGAAGAGAACGAAAATGGAATGCCGCAATTGGAATGTATAACTCCGTTAAGATTGCTTCTAGAATCAGAGAGAAATTCTGAAAGGTGGAACAACGAAGTAAAAGACATGGAAGCTCATAATAAAATAAGAAGTGAGAAAATGCAGTGGCAATTGAATCACGTCAATATAGTACTATACATAAGGAACCAACTTAAATTAAACAGGTAAACACTTCGTGAGAGAAATAATCATACCTTTATTTTCAATTTTTTATCTTATTTCATTGTAGATTCTCAGAAGAACAAATTCATACAGCTTGTGGAATTCTGGAAATCAATGCTTTCGAGATTCGAACAGCAAATGGATGTACCGCGAGAGCACTTTATCCAATAGTGGCTCTGATGAACCATTCGTGTGTCTCAAACACATGTCACAGTATTTCACCGACTGATTATAGGTAAAATGACAATTACTTGAATTCAATAATAAGTCACGATGCCGTTTAATAGTTAATGGAATTCTTATAGAATTCTTATTTTGTTTACAGAATACGATTACGTACTACACTGAAAATTCCTGCTGGTGGTGAACTTTACGGACGTTACACGCATTCGCTACTTCCTACGATGTTGAGAAGAGAACAACTTCTCGAAACAAAATATTTCGCCTGTGCCTGTCCAAGATGTTCAGATCCTACCGAACTTGGAACACATATGTCTACGTTGAAATGCAATAAGTGTGATAACGGGATTATATTATCTTTAGATTCTTTGGGTAAATCGTACAGTTGTCTCGCTAACGATCTCATCTCATATATATTCGTCTAAGAACATACAATAAGTAATTGTAATCGGAATTTTCGATTGATTATAAATTTATATTATAGATCCAGAAAGTTCATGGAAATGTACTTATTGTAACTTTATGACGACTGGAGCAGCCGTTCGAAAAGTATTGCTGATCATACAAGAATCAGTGAATGCAGTGGAGATCATTAGCGGTGCTGAGGGAGCTGACGCTATTCAAGCGAGGGAGACAGTGATAAAAAAATATCGTTCAGCTCTACATCCCCGACATGCTTTCCTCACAACATTGAGGTAAATCTAATTTTTTAAATAATAATAATTAGATTACGGATCTTTGTGTAACTTTAGATTTTAATGAACCATTAAAAAAATAAAAAGAGCCTAAGTTGAAATTCATTCCGCCACTAAATATTACATTAACAAGTACTCTATTCTCGATATTTTATATGCTTTTATATATTGTATATATTCTCTGCGTTTTACTATCCTCAGATTTAAATGCATAAAAATCTGCAATCTACTAATAATTAATGTGTATAATCAATATGGATGAAAAGATTTATTTTATCAGTATTAATAAATTTGTAGAAAATTTAATAGAAAATATAAATAATCCATGAATTTGACTTTGCAGATATTCGTTGTCACAAATGTATGGTCGTGTGGACGAATATCTCTTAGATGATTTACCCGATATTGTATTAGAACACAAAATCGATATGTGTAGGTTATTACTTCAAGTCTTCGACGTCATAGAACCTGGCTATTCTCGTATAAGAGGTAAAGATTTATTTAATTATCTATCACTCGTCGTTTAATACTACAGTTTGTTTCCTGAGATATTTTTACTGAACGCTTTATCAATGAATGTTATTAATATTTGATCTTTATCAAAGGAATGACCTTGTACGAACTCCATGCCCCTTTACTTTTTACCGCTAAAACATTGTGGAATGCCGGAGTAATCGATGAAGCCATCCTAAAATCGAAAATGATAGATGCTTCTACCATCTTGAAGGAAGCTGCATTAATTTTGTGCTTAGAACCACCAGATACATCAGAGGGTAAAATAGGCATCGCCGCTAAAGAATCTCTGGCTGAACTCGAAGAATCGATAAACAATTTGTAAATATTTATTATAAATATATCAAACTTTGTATTTCTTTGTTAATAAAGTACAATACAATTCTGTACCTAATGAACGTATACGAAAATAATTAAACTTGTCTTGTTAAGAACTCGTTATCGTTATGTTGACAATATTTGAAAATATAAATGATATAATCAGTTTTAACGTAACATAGAGGAACCAAAATAGAAAATAAAAAAATTGTCTCTAATTTTTCAAATCTTCCCTACCCCAAATCTTCAAATTTTTTATGATCTTATCCTAATCTTTTTTAATCTTAGATCGCTAACGTTTCATTTAAATTTATTAACATTCAAATTTCTCAGGAGATCTAATTAACATTTTATCAGAAAATTATTAATAGAAAACGGTCTATTTAAAATACGAATAGGACGTTGCTGTTTGTAATGTAATGTCTACGCATTGTTTTGTTGTGAATACTTCACTACTTAAGCACGCGCGAACACTACAACTTCTAATAATATCAAGTGTATTAAAGGACAGACGGCTTCCGATATAACTTTCTGTATTTCAATCAGTTACGAATTGTAGGCAATGCATAATATTGTCAAACTTTCGTTAATTTCGCACGAGACACGTATTTCATTCGAGTAATTGACGAATATAGCTCGCTTAATATACCACGATGGGAGAAACATCAAAAAGCACTGCAGTTCCCACGTTGAAATATAAAGTTTGTTATTCAGACAAATTGGGCAGGTATAAACATAAACGTATTGTGAAACGTTATTATTAACTCTATATAACAATCTATGTAACTCTATGTAACAATCTGTATCGAAAGATATTGAAATCGATAGGATCTATTATTCTGGAAATATCATGAATTATATTTAATCTCAATTAAAAAACAAATGTGATGGTTTCGATTTTTTTAATAATTTGAATTAAAATTTTATATATCACATTATTTTGAAATGCGTATCTGATACATCGTCTTCTTTTAGATATTTACAGGCAGCAACGGATTTACAGCCAGGCGAAGTGATATTTCGAGAAGAACCGATTATTGTTGGACCATTGGTTATCAATAAACATCCGGTATGCTTCGCATGTATGAATCTCTTGCAACTATATGAAGAAGAAGATCATTATTTTTGTACGAAATGCAACGTCGCTCCTCTGTGTGGTAGTGCTTGCGAGGTACGTGCAAAAATAAATGATATGTTGTCAATGCACTCAAATTTTATCTTCAGTTATTCCTTTTAACTCAATAGAGCGAACATTATTTTGTTTGTTAAACATAGGTACATTACTTTATTAAGCGATATCATTTGTCATTAATAATTAACATTTCAGGAACGCTCGATACATCATACACCGGACGAATGTGAACTCTTCCGAACTACTGAAGACATAGCGAAGAAAAATTTACATCATATTCTCAAATATATTAACGGTATATTATTGATTATAAGATTTTGGCTCTTACAAAAAAGAGATCCGGAATTATGGGAACGAGCCAGATCTATGGAAGCTCATTTAGAGAAAAGAAGAGGCACAACAGAGTGGAAAGACAGAGAAATGAATATTATAAATGTAAGTGAAATAAAGAAATTAACAAAAAAGAGTTCTTATAATAATATTTCTTGTTTTGAATAGGTTATGAAATCACTTAATTTAGTTCCTCATGACGATCCATCTGTTTCGGAAGTTCTTCAACTAATGTGCGCAATTATAGATGTTAATTCTATCGAGCTTAGGCCTCCAGGAAATATAGAGAGAGTTTATTTACAAGGTTTATTTGCGGACACCTCTTTGCTCTCTCACGACTGCAGAGGAAACCTTCATCTAACTATGGATAGCAAATTTAAGCTAACTGTATATGCCAGTGTACCAATTAAAGAAGGCGATATCATTTGCTTTAGTTATACTTCGCCTTTTTTGGTTTGTTTATTCGTTTATAAAATTTTTATATTACAAAATCCTATGTGTAGAGAACTTGAAACTCATTTAAAATGTTACACTATTTGTATTATTATATATTATATTCTTATATGAAGCTTCTAATTATCAGAAATAGCAAAGTTGTACAGTTGCACAATTTTTTTATTAATGATTTTGTTTATATTTTATATATTATTTCATTACTAGGGAACATTATCTCGGAGACTACATTTAAGAATGACAAAATATTTCGATTGCAATTGCTCAGTGTGTAGAGAGCCATATGAATTGGGATCATATGTTAGCGCTATTTTGTGTCCACGATGCAGAAAAGGTTACTTGGGAATGGAAGATCCTTTGGTAGAGTTTCCATACGAAAAGAAATGGAAATGCAACAATTGCGAACACCACATGGCAGGATATCTTGTCAAAACCACTTTAAATCTATGCAAATTATTGGTCAAAGAAGACATTAGGGATGCTAAAGTTCGTATATAATAGAATTGTGATAATTGCACATTATTGAACGTCTATTCAATTTGCATTTATTGGTTTGTAATAATCAAGGAGCTAGAGAGTTTAAGGAGGAAATTATTGAGAACTCTCCATCGAAATCATTATTACATACTAGAGGTGAAGCAAAAGTTGTTGGCTATTTATAGATTCGAAGTGACAAGGCCAAATCCAAATAAAAGATTTCTGGAGAATATGTTGAGTATATGTAAAGAAATGTACGAATTGCTGGAAGTTGTTGAACCAGGAATATCTCGATATAAAGGTATTTTTAACCAATAATTTATTCGAATTACATAATAAAATATAGCAATGAAAACTGATTTATTCGAATTTTAATTCTGCAATAGTGTTCTGCATAATATGTTTGAGTGCTAATTTAATATAGTATTATTTACATTAAATATTAATAAAGTTAATATAAAATGTCGCCTATTAAAAAAAATATTTTTTAGCAATAACGCTATTCGAATTGCACTTAGCAATAGTAGCGTTAGCGCATAAAGAGTATTATAGACAAGAAATTTCGGCAATAGAATTTGCTTCGCGCCTTGAAGAAGGCGCAAGTACATTGAAGAAGTCCCTAACTATGCTCCTTTTGGAGCCACTGGACACTGCAGAAGGGAGATTGGCTAAAAAAGGTTTAGAAAAATTAAAGACACTAAATGAGACTATAAATAACGTTAAGGCTGTGACTGAATTTGCACAACTTACTATTCGTGGAAGAAGAAAATTACAGAAAAATAAATAAAGGAAAACAAATAGACAATGGATATGAAGTATCTTTCATCATTAACAATGATGATTATTACACAATATTAATTTTTTTTTCATTATGTGACAATGTACATAAAACAATATTAGTAATTTAAATAAGAAAAATTTTTAATGATTTCATACTATTTCGAACATTATATGTATATAACTCTAGTGATCAAAAATGTCACTATATTAATCCAATAGTATCGCAGAATAAATTATATCATTCTTATTTCAAGTTTTATTAATGGTTTTTAAATTATTTTTAATGATATTGAGAATAATTTAGAATTGTCAATTACCATTTTCTTATAAAAAATTTTCCCCACCCGTTAGGATTGTTCTATTTTAATGATTATAAATTTCTGTTAATCTTGAATAATATTAAAATGTGTGACATTCATAGCATGTACGTTTGTGAAAGTATATATGTCTTTTTAAATAAAACTTTAAAAAATTGAGTTCATTATTTAATAGAATATGAGCAAAAGATTTAATTTATAATAAAAACTAGTACGCCAACTGAAACAACATAGTTGGTTAGAACATAAAATATTCAACTTTTACAGATCGAAAATTTAAATTTACAAAATTTATTTATTTTTTAAAATATTTGCTGTCGAACACAGGTAATATTCAAAAGATTTACAAAATTTTATTATACATACATATATACTAGATATAACCTCTATGAGAGAAGTACAAATAAAACAAATAAACAAATCATTGATGTTTTATAATAAATATTATTGTTATATATAATACAAAAATTAATAAAATGTAGTTGCAATAAATATATAAATATATATATCAGATTATTAATTTCTTTAATTTATACAACAAAGAATTTTGGTATTTTAGCAAATAAATAACATGTTTGACCAAGGCATTATTGGAATATGCTTTTGTATTTGCTTGGCAATAGTTTTCAATTTTTCTTTACATCGTATAGAAGAAGGTCATGTTGGTGTTTATTTTAGAGTAAGTAATTAATAGAATAGAGTAAGTAATAAATACATTATAATATAATTTATAACACACACATTTTTATTGAATGATATAGGGTGGAGCGTTATTGCCTCAAGTCAGCAATCCTGGATTTCATATGATGATACCCTTATTAACAACATATCGCTCTGTCCAAGTTACATTACAGACAGATGAAGTAAAGAATGTTCCATGTGGAACAAGTGGTGGTGTAATGATCTATTTTGATCGTATAGAAGTTGTAAATATATTAGATGCAAACAGTGGTAAAACTTTTATTAATCACATGTATTAAACTATAAAAAAACTGCAAATTTTAATGCAATTTCAAATTTTTATGGATACAATTAAAGAAATATAATTGAAGAGGAGAATTGTTTCCACTATTAAATATTATAACAAATACTTTACATTAGATATTTCATATATTTTTACAATTTACATTCATTCTGCAGATTTTTATATTTCTATATTTCTAAATTTCTTATAAATGCATAAAGATCTGTAGTCTAACTATACTATAATTATTTATAATTATAATTATAACTATAATTATGAATTATTGCAACATTTTGTATTCATCTTCTTAATTATAGTTTATAACATGGTGAGAAACTTTACAGCAGATTATGATCAAACATTAATATTTAATAAAATTCACCATGAATTAAACCAATTTTGTTCTGTACACACATTGCACGAAGTATATATAGACTTGTTTGATCAAATTGATGAAAATCTGAAAACTGCTTTACAAAAGGACTTAAATGATTTAGCACCTGGTTTAAGTATTCATGCAGTTAGAGTCACTAAACCAAAAATTCCAGAAACTATCAGAAAAAATTATGAATTAATGTGAGTACAATATAAATTTAAGTTGATTAATAATTTTAAAAGGTTTAAACAATATTTTACTAATTATTACAGGGAAGCAGAAAAAACAAAACTTTTAATTTCAACACAGCATCAAAAAGTTGTTGAGAAAGATGCAGAGACTGATAGAAAAAAGGCTGTTATCGAAGCAGAAAAAGAGGCACAGGTAGCAAAGATACAGTATAATCAAAAAATTATGGAAAAAGAATCTCAACAGCAAATAGCAGCTATTGAGGATGAAATGCATTTAGCAAGAGAGAAAAGTCGTTCAGAGGCTGAATATTATCAAACAAAAATGCAGGCTGAAGCAAATAAACTTCTTCTTACTAAAGAATTTTTAGAATTAAAAAAATATGAAGCATTAGCACAGAATACAAAAGTATATTATGGTCAAGATATACCAAAAATGTTTATGTATGGAGGTTGTTCAAGTAATCTTAGTACAAATTAACATGTGGATATTTACAGAAAATAATAATAGAAATTAATGTTTTTTTTCTGATATTGAACGATAATATACATAAATTCTTGTATATAATTGTTATATTAACGATAATATTTTGATGATATGAACTTTCATTTTTAAAAGTAAGACTTAAGTATAATTTTCACAATCCATTAATTTATCCATTATAATTAATTATTGATATTTTCAATCATTATCGTTAATTTCTTATCAATTTTTATTAGAACAAATGAAATTTTCTAATAAAAATATTATTACAAATTATATTGATGCCAGATTACTGTATTATTTTGTATTATTTTGTAAAAGTATTTTGTAGTTCCTCTAAAATAAACAATCTGACATCACCTCAAATATTATAAAAACAAAATGTAAAGTAAAAATAAACTTCACACTTAAAAAAACAAATCATCATTTCTAATAAAACCAAATCATTAATACTAATTAAATATTAATACATCTCTAAAATCCGTAAATTAGACAGCAAACATACAAAAACTATAATGAATTTTCCAAATTTAAACTTTATTTCAAAATAATTTTTTATTACGGCAATTTAAATACGGTGCGTGCGCATTCTACGTTTATCATATGTCAATCTGTCAAAGCAACATTTATTAATCCTAACATTTAAGATTTTTACTAATTCCTAATAAATTTATGATTTGCTACACTGCTTATCAGAGTGAATATTAAAAATGACAGCAGTAAGTTTTACAATTACATTGCATTATTTTGTGAAAGATAGTATAATCTATATTTTAAGGTTATGTATAGATAGCACTGCAACACACATTTTATGTTACAATAATTAATTAACAATTCTTGTAGAATTTTGTGCGATGAATACAAATATGAAAACGATTTCATCCACCAATATCGACTTCTTTGAAGAATGCAAATTTTCGACTGAATTTTTTCTGTTTCAACAGTAAAAGTCACGCAAATATTTTTTACATAAGATGACTCTACAAATATTCTCACACATAATAATATATATTTATGCAACATTATAAACATTTAAATATGTTTAAAAGATTCTCAAAATAAACAGATCATCCGAAATATATTTGTACATATTTTTTAATTTGTCTTCAAAATTAAGGAGAAAATACAACTAGAACAGACAATAAAGCTTGTTCTTGTGGGAATTCTGAAAGAAAGTTAGAACATAGATTTCATTTGAAAATAGTTCTATGATATATAATATAATTCTATAATATGAAGTATTATCAATGGTCTTGAATATCAACAATTGCTTGATGTTCTTTTTAATACAATATAAGAGATTTATAGTCATGCAATTATGTTAACTTATTTTGCTATTACATTTATTGTTTATATATTATTTTATTCTAAAAAAAATAAATTTATATAATTAATATTAATTTAAATATTAGGATTTAATCCACAAAATAAAATATTTTGTACGTTAGATTGCTGAATGCAATGAAACATATTACACATAAAAAATTCTAAAAATACAATAATGAAATATTGTCTTTCAATTTATTATTTTTGTCATAAATAATTATATTTAATAAATACAATCCTCCAAATGAATAAATAAGATCTTCATTTATATTGAGAAGAAAATCAAGCTTGATGTTCAAAATCATTGCTAATACTTCATGTCTTTGCAAAACTATTTTACTTTCCCAATCGATTTTCTTCTAGATTCTTAGTTTTTAAAATAAATTGAAAAACATTCATAAAAATTAATACATTTTGAATGTCTTCTTCAGTTATTGTTTAAACATATTTAAATGTTTGTAATACTGTGAAAATATATATTATCATATTTGAAAAGGTCTGCAAAATTATTTTATATAAGAAACATTTATGCACTGGTTGAAACAAAAAATATTTGAAACTCAAAATTTGTATTTTTTTTCGAAATTCTTTCTTAAAAATTGGAGGATGATAAAAAAAACAAAGAAAGAAGTTTTCATATTTGTATTCAGCACAAGAATCACCTATTGAATGTTGTTATAATTTCTATTGTAATTTATGAAAGAATATAGTCAATTTTAAAATAATTATAAGATGTTTTTGAAAAATATATATTTCTGAATAATATATATATATATAGTATCATAATATAAAAATGTGTTATTAATTATCATTATTTATACCTTTATTTCTATTACTTTAGGAATTAAGAAAATTTCTTTATGGCCTTCTAAACAGTGTAGAAGGACTGCATAGTATATTGATAACAGATAGGGATGGAGTACCTGTTGTATCTGTAGCTGATGATACAACACCTGAATTAGCTATGAGAGCAAGTTTCTTATCAACATTTGGGATGGCAACAGATCAAGGAAGCAAATTAGGATTAGGAAAAAATAAAACAATTATATGCATGTATAGTAGTTATCAGGTAACAAAAATATGTTATGTTATTATTATTATTATTATTTTTCAGTAAATATAGAATTAACATATATGTGAATACTAATATAAATCTAATTAGTTATTTATTTTGTAGGTAGTTCAAATGAACAAATTACCTTTAGTAATTAGTTTTATTGCTAGTCATAACTGTAATACAGGTCATATCTTATCTTTGGAAAGTAAAATAGATCCAATCTTAAGTAATTTAAAAAATGCAGTAGTAGAAGCCTGATGGTTACCTGTTGTGCATTATGGGTGATAAATACCAACAGTTTGCAATTGAATTTGGGAAATACTTGAAAAGCTATTCTAAGATGATTTAAATAAATAATGGAGCCATTAGTGTATTTTTTCATTTAGAAAAAAGAATTATATTCTTTCATAATTATGTTTTCTTTTGTTAACATTTTTATATAATATTTTAAACACTTATTTTTTAAAAAAGAAAAATCTTAAGTCTTTTATAAAATGTAAAAAGAGAAAAGGACACATATTACAAATTTTTATAATAAATAGAAAAATCCCACAATCAGAAACATTTCAATATTCTCAAAATATATTTAAAGTATTTAAATTTTACATATATAAATAGTATAAATTTATGTAAAAAGAGTTGATATTAGAGTACATATTATATGTGTCAGTTAATATTCTTAAATACATTAGAATGTATCACTATTTTGTTATGTTACTTCAAACAAATACATAATTTTAAATCATGTGATAGAAATTTATAATTTATATATGCAGAAAAATATATTAGTTACAATTCATATATCAGTGGCTTACCCTCTAATCCATTGAGAATGTTTTGTGCTGCAGTAAAAGACATATCATTTCGTGTCTTCACAGTAGCACTGCCCAAATGAGGTATGACCACTACAATACATTTTATATTTGTTAATGTACATACAACTTTGCTATATATTTCTACAATTAACTAACATACAAATATTAAACATAAAAATAAAAATAAAAAGAGAATTTCTGTTAATAAAGATATCTAAAAAACAAAAAGTGTTAATTCATTTGATCCTTGATCCACATTTGTGTAATTAATAATACTCACCAGCATTAGAAATTTTAAGAAGTTCGTGATCGGGAGGTAACGGTTCAGGATCTGTAACGTCAAGACCCGCCGCAAAAATTATGTTATTTCGCAATGCTTTGATCAAAGCATTTGTCTTTACGATTTGTCCACGAGCAATGTTTACAAACACAGCGTTTTTTTTCATTTTATTAAAAGTATTATCATCAAACAATCCTCTAGTTTCATTATTTAACGGGGCAGAAACAATTACGAAATCACTTTGTTCAAGAAGATCGTCGAGAGACACAAAATGCGCTCCAAGTTCGTCACCTATTTAAGATAAAAATAAATATTTCGAAATACATATTTTATTTTTATGCATACTATGTAAATACCTGCTTTTTTACGAGAATGTCCAGTATAAACAAAACGAGCCACACTAAATCCTTTTAGTCGTTTAACAATAGCTTGTCCAATATTGCCCAAACCAACAATGCCAACTGTTGATCCTCTTAACTCTTGACCAAGTAACCACTGCAAATTTTTCATCACTTGCCCTCTAAATTTTCAAGAATTTTTGATATTATTATTATTATATATTTTCCATGAATAAAATTAATAAATATGTTTTTCTGAATTTTTAAATAAAATTGAATATTTAAAACAAAATTAAACATTAAACATTGTTCAAAATAAAATTTCTCGAATAGATGTACAATTTGAATTTAGACTAATTATATTTTTTAGAAATGAAAGAGCAAAAATTTTTTAATTACTGTTCAAGTTTTAAACGTCCTTCGTGAGTTCGTCTTGCTGCATTTAATGCCAGAAGTACTGCAATTTCTGCAACTGCATCTGACAAAACCATAGGGGTATGACCAACTTTAATACCTCTCCTTTTAATTTCGGGGACATCCAAATGATCATAACCAGCTGACATTGTTGAGACGACTTTTAAAGATGTTCCTATTTATATTAAAATAGTATTTTTTAATGTTTCTTTAAGTTTCGTTTATAAAAGAGTTTTGAAGTTACGAAAATATAATCGTCTGTGATATAATATTTGATATAATATCGTTATTTACGTAAACTGATTAATTTAACAAAAAAAAAAAGGAGAAAAAATAATAAATCTGAAATCTAGAATTAAATTATACTTATAATTACGAATACTGTTTCTTCTATTAATTAAGTTTTAAGTTTAAAAGCCTGAATTGATTAACATTGTTATCACTTATTTCAAAATTCCGCATAAAACATAATTCATCATATTATTAATAATTCAATATTTACCTGCATTATTAAGAAAATCGCTATTTATATTTAAATGATTAGTGACAAAGATTGCATCATGACCAGGAAGAACTTGCAATACATCTTCTTGACTAGGATTAGTCGTTTGAATGATTGTGACATCGCATCTGTCACAAAGAAATTAATTCCGAGTAAATTCATATTATATTATAAGAACCACTAAACATTCAGAATCAATATTAATCATTAATTTAGAATTAATAATTACGATTTTAATTGTTGCATAAAATTACGTTAAAATAATTGCAATATTACATGATAATAATGTCAGATCGATGAATTTTCATTTAATTTTACTTTTTCAACTTTTTTTTTATTATTACAAATAATTGAACATTAGTAAATAATCTTTCTCAAGAAATGTACTCACTTTGTCCGCAAAAGATCTATACCAGCTGATGGTACATCGTTGCTCGTAATTAACACACGTGATTTCATTGTTCTTCCCCGGCGTTCTGTCACAGTGACAAACACTCTGTAAACTGATAACAAGTAGTAACACTTTTCACATTATATAACACAATCTTAATTCTTGCGCAAGCGCAATTCAATCGAAAAACAACTGTATGCAGGAAACAGAATGTATTTTTGTTTCTTACGATAAACATTTTTTTTTATGATAAAATTATCGTCAAATGTATGTATTTATAATTTACTGATATAAAATCTGTCTCTTAGATAAATATATATAAAGAAAAAAAATTCAATTAATATAGAATTAAATAACATTATTTAACAATGGAATAATAACTTATCTAGCATATACAAAAATAAGAATTTAAATCATTATACATTGCAATGTAGTAATGTAATCCAATAAAAGGATATTGAAATATATATATACATTTACAGTATTTTATGGAAAAAGTAGCATTCATTCATCGAACGTATAATTTTCATAGTATTAATACACATGGAAATAGTATGAATCAAAATATGGCGCGACTATTTATTGGAAACTTACTTCTTCTATCATATGCTTCCCTATTCATTGGAGACGCTACTTTCTGCAAATGATAGACAAGTTAGTGCGTGTCTGTTAATTATGAAAGCTATTTTGTTCTCTAGTGTGATTACACGTTAATAGAATGATAAAAGATGTAATAATTAGTATGTTAAGATAATAGAACTACAATTCTACATAGTACATGAGAGAGAGTATAATGCATGCATATTGTAGTTCTTATCTTCATATATGTGTTTTCTTCATTAATAATATTAAGTTTTAGTTACTACAAATAACTTTTATCATCCAATATATGATAAATAATTCTAATAAAACATATAGCGAAATTAATGTTTTAAATAATAAATTAGAATTGATATGCATATAACTTATTAATAAATACTCACATGTAAAGTATTAATCTAATACTTATTAATAAATACTTACATTTGATCATTTTGTTGCAATTGTGCAGATTCTCGCTTGTTTTATCTATCGACGATTCGTTAAAAATCACTTCATAGATAATGTTAAAATAGATAATCTATTTAGATAAGAATCTTTATTTAAATAACATTATATAAAATGTTTATCTTATCTTTTTTATAAAATTAATTAAATACATATGTGCGTATTATTAATAAAGTAAATTTCAACTCCTTTAGTGATTTCAACATGTGAAGTATCAGGGAAAAATGAAGGAGTATCTACATCATATGTATATTATTTCACATATTGAATACACATTGTTGTGTAATATCCTCACTGTGCAACTATTCTATATTAACTAACTATATTAGTTCAGTTCGAATATACTAATGTACATGGATAAAAACACTAAAGAAAAAAAAAAAAAATGTTATATTTCGTCTTTATGCATTTTAAATAACAGAAGATATTCAACTATATGTAGTAAACAGAATTATCTTGAAATGTTAACCACGGTATCCTGTTTGACAGACTATTCAAACCATTTGTAAACCACTTATTTCCTTAACACTAGCTATTTATAACAATCGTATGAAACTTGTGAAAAGTTTTTATGAATTTTATAGTTACACTAATCAATAGTGTAATTTTCCTGAACATACATATAAAAAATATAAACTCACTATAAATTAATAAATATTGCTATAGTAGCTTGTATATCAATAAAAAGTTATTTACTAATTGATTAACTGATGAAAGTTATTTACTCATTGATTTTGATAATGTACAGTTATCTTAATATCGTGTCATTATTGATAATTTATCAATAATTATGTCATTGTACTCATTCCTAATGTAAAAGATACATTTAAATCATCCGTCATAATCTAATCTTAGTGTCGACGTCATGACCTCTTTCGTACTGGTACCAATATAACAAAAAAGATTAATATAAGTTACAATTGCACTTAATTTTAAGAACATTTCTTAATATTTTTCTTTTATAATGAGTACATTTAGTAAATATTATACATAAATTACATAAATTAGAAATATTGTATAGATAATTCTTGTACGTATTTTTCTATATATAATAAATGTGTGATTTCCTAAAATATTTTAATTTGACTGTTGGTAATAATACGGTTTTAAAAATATAAGTTTCAATTCGAGTCCAGAAACGACAATTCACTAGCAAGTAAAACAGACCGACAGAAACTCATTCGAATTACCATAACAGTGTATTTAAAATTTTCTTAACATTCTTTATTTTGTTTTGTAATTCGCGCCATGAATCTTTTTCATATTCATAAAAGAGGTTATAAAACATCACATACCTAATAACTCTAAAAGCATGGTTTACATTTAAGCCCAAATTTATTTATGCCGAAATAAAAAATACGAAAGAAATAGTGGATTTAAATACTAAAATATAAAATGAGGTGGATGACACGATATTTTACATTACCAATTTTACTTAGTTTATCTTTAACAAGTGTTAGTATTGCTGTATTATATGTATTATACAAAAAGGTAAGTTTAAAAGTTATTACAAATCTATATATTGATACTTCGTTTCAATCATTTTTTTAATTTAATAGGACGAAGAAGATATTAAATCTGGAAAAAGTCATGTTGAAATTTCAAAAGTGTATACAACAGAATATAAAGTACCTAAACAATTTGTACCTGCTGTTATTGGAAGGGGTGGTTCAGTGATAAAAGATGTACAAAATAAAACAGGAACACAAATTCATTTTGAAGAAGAGAACATTGAATGTACTGATCGTATTTGCATTATAAAAGGAGGCTATGAAGCTATACATTTAGCTGAAGAAATGATAAAATCTATAATTAAAAATCAGCCTATAATTGAAACATACGAAATGTTTATTCCACAGAAAGCAGGTGGGAAAATAATAGGGAAAGGCGGTGAAGTTATAAAACAAATGCAAACAAGCTCTGGTGCAAAAATCTTGATTGAACACGCCCGTAATCCACATGATTCAAGTATATTTACTTTATATAAATTTGTTATGTTTTATATTTGATTTTATTTTTTTTCAAATTTTAATAGCTACCAATATTTTATAGATTCTGAGAGAAAAATTATTATAAAAGGAACAACTAAACAAATTACTGCAGCTTTGACACAAATTCAAGATAAAGTTCGCGAAGAACAGGAAGCACGTGCAAAGATAGAGGCTTCTTCTGCTACAAGATTGCCTAGAGGAAAATTATCTCCTCGTAACACTCTTAATACATCTGAACAAGTTCAAAGCACTGAATCTTTACCAGGTGAATATGAAATATAAATAATATCTCCATTTGTGATATTACAATGTTTTATATATTTTATGTTTTTCTTTTTAGTTTCTGATGGTTTGATGGAAGTATATGTATCAGCAATGGAAAATCCTAGTCAGTTTTGGGTTCAAATTGTTGGTCCAGGAACTACAGCATTAGATAAATTAGTGTCTGAAATGAATACCTACTATGATAATGAAGAAAATTATGAAATGCATAGGTTGAAAAATGTAAATACTTTAATTGAACAATTAAATACTTTAATAAGGGTCAATATTTAAAAAATATCTTTGTATTATTATTTTATCTTCTCAGATAACAATTGGTCAAATGGTAGCAGCAAGATTCAGTTTTAATAAACAATGGTACAGAGCTGAAATTATTTCTACACCTGAAAATGATCAATGTGAAATTTTTTTTGTGGATTATGGAGACCGTGAAGTAGTTAATCTTGATTCCGTATTGGAACTTCGAACTGATTTTCTCCGCTTAAGATTACAAGCGGTCGAGTGTTCAATGGCTAATATTAAACCACCGTAAGTTAATTTTCAATTAAGTTAATAGAGCTAAGTATAAAAATATATTAAGACCCATAGAAATGTTCTTTATTAAAGTTATTTAGGTTGGAAAGACACATTTTTCAACAGTATTTTATAAGTGATCAAATTTTCTATAAAATCTGAATCATATCTTACATTGATTTCTCTTTTTGAAAATTAAAACTGTCTAATATTAAAATTTGTTACAACTCACAATTAATTAAGTTGCTTATATCTAAAAGATATCAATTGCTTAATTCACTATCATCCATGTTACTTGATCTTGAACTGCCAATACCAGCTTCACAAACTTCATTGAACAATTCTGGGTTCACTTGTTCCATCATTTTCCATGCCAAACTTTTGTTGAGTATCGTTATGTTTTCCTCACAATATGCTAAACTTGCTCTTTTAAGCGCATCACAGCCAAACTCGTCCGCAATTAAAAGTCTGCTCGCTATATTTTCTGGAGTTATCGTTTCGATAAGATTTCGTTCGCAGAGCTCCTTCAATCCTAAAAAAGAGTGTAATATATAACAGCATTGTTAGTCAGATTTCTAACAGATCAATTCCTCGATATTGTAACATATAATACCCTGTAAACAAAAGCGTTCAGCCAGAGGTAAAAGTTGTGGAGCGAAATTATCCAAATTATCAACGTGATCACTATATATATATCGCAATAATTCTTCGGTCATTTCTTTGCTCAGATCCAGCAATTCCAAAGAAAACATATAACGATCCTAAAATTTTGATACAAAATATTATCAAAAAATTGAAATATTGGATAAATATAATAACAAATGATACGGTACTCACTCGTGAAAGTAGCAAACTCAGAAGTTATTTCTATTATAGGAACTATTGTGTCACACAAAAAAGTTAATAAGCATAGAATACATTGTGATAGTAAGCATAAAATACATTGTGCTACAATAAACATACTGAAGTTTTGTATATAAAATTATTACACTTTTAAATACTGATCTTTACAACAAAGAGAATATTAATATCTTATTATTTATGTTAAGACTTCAATAGATATGTTATTAAAATATAGATTAATTATATCGTTTATACAATTTAAAACAAGTTAATTTGAACATTCTGTAATACTGGCACAGAATAACTTCTAACACGTACATTGGAACGTTTGTTTTCTTTATCGATTATATTTTCTTGCAATTCCGGTATATCTGCTATTTTATCTTCTGCGATATCTGATCTTGAGTTCTTTTTCTCGTTGAGATCTCTTAAAGGCAATATCATCTCAGCCAAAACGTTGCTTCGAGCAGCTAATATGCTGCTATGAACTGGAATTTCCATGTTGTTCAAACCTCCGCAGGTTAATTTCGTGTCTGCGCCACATGAATGCTTTAATAGTCTGGCCATATCCTGGAACACGTTAATTTATTGCTTGATCTTCTTTCTTTGAATTATTCTTTTAGTAAGTTTAGTAAAATAAACTGGATTGCCATAAAAAGAATATTTCGCTCAGATCTTTTATTAACGCTGTTTAAATGAGTTTCTATTATGCTGTTTAAACGAGGTTTTATCATACATAATCCCAAAAGTTATATACAAATCGTCATAAAGTGATTCCTCATAAAAGAAATAAGGAAATTTTGTAGAATGAAATTTGTTCATTCGAGACTTAGTTTTGGAAAGAATCAAGATCGGAAATTTATCAAATATATTTAAACTTGATAAATTGTAAACTAAATAGATATGAATAATCATCAGGAGTCTTTGTATGTGAAAATAAATTCAAAACAATTGGAAAATATGAAATAAATTTTTTACAAATATATAACTATATATTTTAATTAAACATATTCAGAAAAATGTTGCTTTGATTTATTTTTGCATAGAATAATCTCTTGTTTATTATTTATTTATATCCAATTTACAATTAATCAAATTTACATATATACTAAATGATGATCTCGAATAAGAGTCTATGTTACACTTATAACATTCTAAGATAACGAGATTTCAAGTTGTACTTCTTCTATAAGCGTTTCTTTTCTCCTATTTTATCTTTTTCTCTCCACTAAAACAATTTCCAGACACTGTAAAATTACTGTGAACTCAATTTATTCGAGGCACACTACTACTCACGTATTTAAACAAATTTCCTTTTATTGTTCAAGCAAAGCTTTGAACAGGAGGATCTTTATCTTTTTATGTGGAACTTCCGTACTCGCTCGTATATAACTTTTGATCGCACTACATATCTACTGAGAATACTTACCTGCGACAAGTTGTGTTTCTCGCTTTCATATTGGATTATCTGTATCTTAACCATTAACACCACCTCGCCGTTCTTCTTTAAATGCCTGTCGACGATGGACAAGTCCCTGTAGCCCAAGGAAATGATGTCCGTGTATGATTTCAGCTCAAGTATTGTCCTGCTAACGTGACAGTACTCCCAGTGTTTAACGTCGGCATTGAAAACTGCAAATTGAAATCGTATCTTCGCTTGTTCCGCTTCATCTACGGTGCAGTTCAACATGTTCAGGCACAATACCACTGGGTTTATCATTCTTTTGCCTGTTACCAAACAGCGGACCATTCTTTCTTTTAATAATAAAGTCAATATCGATGATTGTTTTCGAAAACAAAACGAAGAGAAATGGAAATAGAAAATGCGCATGATGAATTCCGAAATGCCACGATGAAATTAAAAACAACGCTCTGCGTTTCTTTTTCAGTTCGTTTTCGTTTTGAATCGAATGTAAATGAAGTTAAGCTTGGAAACTTTCACAATTGGATTTGTCAAGCCTGAGATTTTAAAAAAATATAATAGAATTTTACTTTGGCCGAGTCACAGCATTTCTCAAGTGACAAATTACAAAAAGTTCTCTGGCTCTTAAATAAATCCTCTTACGACTCAAGTTAAATTATTTCAAGTCTAATTGTATTTATTTACATTTTATGAAGTAACATTTCAATTGTAAATACAATGTCAAATCGAGAGAAAGATGATTTAATTTAGGAATGATGGAAACGATAGATTTATTATTGGTTCTTCTTACCATCAGGATTCTTCCAGAATCTGATGGACAAATTCCACGTGCTGTGAATACCATTCACATTGACATCAAATGATGGACTATCGATAAAACTTTTTTTTAAAATAGTCTTCTTGTAATTTGGAACGGACCATGTGTACTTGAACACGACGTCCGAAACTGCTGGCACCAGCAACTCCATTTTATCGTCGTTTTACGTAGACAGAAGATCCTGTAGTAATCAGGCAGTGATGTGACACGCAGTATGTTCCAGTTTTTACATGCAAAAATAAGCCAAATAATAAGAATAATATTTTTTTTTTTTTCATTAGAGCCTTCGAGTGAATCGAGTTTGAACATTTGTCAGATATACAGTAGACCTTTGAACGGTTCGAACAACTTAAAATGCGAGAAAATTCAAACATAAATTTGAAAATCGGACAGGGAGTCACGTAGCAGAGTTAAGTATCAGGCATGATACACGAAATTTATTATTCCTTTATTCGTTATTCAGTTGTTCAAGTTAAAATTAATGTGAAAGCTGTTTCTTTGTAATTTAAGTTTGTTCTATCATTATGTACCGATATAATCTGTAAATAGATGAGGTATTTTATATAAATAGGCACGAGTTTAACTCGAAAATCGAACAACTTGAAAGTCAAGCCGTTTCTTGGAACGGATTGCGTTTGTTAGAGGAATTCACTGTACTAATTTCGAACTAGGAGCGAATAAGGATGTTTAACGTACAAAAATAAATGAAAAATGTAGATTAAATTTTCTTTGTTTAAGGCTTCGTTTTCTAACAAAAAAAAAATAGATTTTATATGTGTTCCGTTAAAAATTAGTATCTCATACATGTATTTGATAAATTTTTGAAAGGTCTTATGAAAAAATTGTACTCTACATTTTTCATTTATTTTCCCGTGTGGAATAATCTTCTGTCGTTTAGTTACTTCTCTCCACTCTGGGATTAATTAATAATTAATAACTTAATAAAAAAGTTGACTTAACTTAAGAAATATTCAAAGTCGGTTTTCTCGAAAATTTTATTCTATATCTTCGGTTTATTTTTACACATAGAATCACAATCATCCGTAGAACACTTTATCGGAAAGTAAGAAACAATTCACATAGCTGAATTATTTGTATAATAGGAATTCTCTGATTTTATCTACCACTTGTGATATTTTTTATTCATAATCGATAATTGAATTTATTTTGGCACAAACTTAGTTAATCGTTGAGTGCATTCTAATATAAATGGAGTTCAAATGAATGAAAACGAAGAAGCGATTATTAAAGAATGTTGCCTAACAATAGAAGATTAGTAAGATACGATCTAATTAAGATAGGATAAGTTCTAATTCGTTTATTCGCTTTATTGATACAACAAAAATTTCAAAAATCAGAATTGTACAGAAACATATCTCTTTATCTGTTTAATTATTCAAGAAAGAATACTGTATATTTTCAGTCATCTACATACATATCAAAGACTAATTTTTACTAGCCTTATTATTTTTATTCTTCATTTTGTTACAATATGACTCTATTTGATTCTATATTTCTATTTTTATTCTGTGTATTATATTTTATTTTTATTTATTATCCACTTTTTTATCTTTATTATTCAATTTTAATTATTTTTCATTTTCATTGTTCTCATATTTTTCATTGCATTCTGCATTCATCTCGGCTCGCTTTCGTTTCGTAATTAATTTTCCATTTTCTCTACACAAACGAGGTGGTTCCCATGGTGTGGCATAATTGCGCGGCGCGTGATTACGATAAACCTTCATGCGAAAGTGCGCAAAACGTTCTGCTGATTGTTGGTTCCGTGCACCGGCAAACTTTGCTGTATAAATCGTAATTTGAACGTTTGAACACGCGTGTTTGGCAAACAGCCAATTTTCGATCTTAATTTACCTTTAATTTAAGGAATTCCTTGGTTACTTGGTACGTTTACTCTTTTGTAGTAACGCATTTGGCGGACAATCGAATACAAACAAAGAAACCGATCGTGTTCAATCCATCTTTGGAATGAAATTCAATGTAATTTGTAAGAAGTAGTAACTTGGGTACAATGTCACTTTGATATATTGTGAAGTAGAGAAATAAGATTATCATATTCACATGATATGAAAAGGTAATTTTATATGTATCTTGTGAATCCACTCAATTGTAACAAAACATTGTTACGTAATAAATATTTTTGTGACTTTATCTTACTGTCATCTATGAAGTATTGGTATTTATTAATAGATTATGTTGTTCGTACAGTACACATTTGTATATCGTATATCATTGACTCTTCTTAGGCAAACATACAAGTGAAACTTCATTCTTGGTAATCTTCTTCTCGCATATTTATTTTTATTAACATTAAGAACTACCAAATTTGTTAATAATCGATTTCGGTGTTCTCTTTTTTACAATTGTTAAAAAGATACGGGTATTTTCGTCACAATTAATATTGATTTCTGTTTAGATTATTATTTAAATTGTAATGATTTATATATAGACTTAATTCGACTTAATTATATTACATTTACATAAATTGAATCGACCTATTTTTTTGGCAATACCTTGATGAAAACAAACGATGTATAATAATAATAATACAAGAAAGATAAAATTCCATTTCGAGAAGAAAAATATTATATAACACACTTGTAATTTCAGTCTCCCTAATCTGTATTTAATGGTGGAATGTTATTAGAAAAATTACAAAATATTTTGTAAGTACTGAAATCTAATACTGATATCACATCAACATTGAGGAAAGACGCTTGTCTTTAAGTCATTAAAAATATTTTATATACTGTTTTTCGATACACGATAGAGTTATAAAGAGAAAAATCCTCATATGTCACTATCTCCTTGATTCTCGAATTTTTATATTACTTGTATCGTTATTATACAACTCATTATTGGAAATTGCTACTGTGCACATTACTTTTGTACCTAGTGAATTATTTATAGAAACAGATTTTGTTAATGTATCGTTTGCTTTCACAAAAATATTGCAAGAAAACCGGGGGGTGCGCCAATACATTTTTGATCCATTGATAATTATAATTCAGCCAACGAGAAACGAGAGTTTAATCAATTCTTCAAAGTAGAGTTTCAACTGTGATTAATTCAAATAAATCCAAGATCGTAAAGTGCTTCGTAACGTTTAATATTAAAGTGGCTAAAGGGGATATTTAATTGCAGTTGTCGGAATAGTAATTGTACAAATGGAACCAATAAAGATTCAAGCCAATGTAATTTCAACTGCGATCGATTGAATATCAATTATAGAGCTTCGTATCTTTCTGTATACGGCTATCACCGCAGTTTTAATTGAAAACGAGCGATAGGAACCGATTAATGCAACTGTACGATTTGTTTCCTGCTTATTTTTCTAAAGAGATTTACGAATTCATAGCTTGGATCTGTTTTCTGAAATTGATTGGTGAATTGAATAAGATAATAATGGCACAAAAAATTGATCTAGTCTTCTTCAACCTCGAACATTTTAATCGAGGACAGTAATTAGAATTGAAAGAATTAAAATATTTTTTTTTAGAAACAAAAATAATATAAAAGCAAAAAAGAATGGATAAAAAGAAACAAAACAGGAAAATATCAAACAATAAAATTAAGAGGAGTTAAAGTTAGAAAATGTATAATTAATTATAAATTATAAAATTTATAAATTTCTTTTCATGTCGAATAAATTTAAATAAATGATAATAAACAATAAATAATTAAAGAGACAAATAAATATTCATCTTAAAGATTAATCTTATTCAAAGTAAAATTTCTAACTAACAAGTTTAAAAAAGAGAGGAGATATCGGTTAAACACATTACAAATCATATTAATATTATTGAAGATACAAAATTAATTATTCCTTTATTAGTAGAAGATAAATTAAATGTTAATGAAATAAACTTGATGAAACTGAACCATGTTCTTCAATAAATCTTAATTTTATTAATATTATTATTTCATTCATATGTTTCTTGTATGAACAATCGAAGAAGTAGTTACAACTAATTTTATACCCAATTGACGTGTACATACGTGTTGAACTTGAAATATTCCAAAAATAAATAAATTATTATTAAATGAATATAAATTTAAATACATACAATTCGTGAAATTTCGTAAACGTCGATAATGAAAAAGAACAAACTAACTATTCGGGAGATTGCGCATCATGAAGAATCAGAACCGACGAGAGAATGATGGAACGAGTTGAACGGAAATAGAAAGCATTTCGGAGTGGTCTGCGGCTTTCTGGCAACGAGGCACTCGTCGGATTTGCCCTCGAAAGCCGTCGTGTCGCGTGTAACCGAAGACCGTCGGCACCGTGGTAATTCCAACTCGAAAACCATCGTGTGTGCATTACTTCGAGGTTGTGCCGGTGATTAGCTGTTTCTCGGCACGCGATACGAGCCCCGGTATTCGGTCAGATTGATTAAATTCACATTCGATTGCTACCCCGCAGCGGAATCTATTCCCATTCTGATCGTTCAGGGCATTGCGAGGATACTCCGATTTTTCACCTGTTAGTGACATCGATCTCACACCGACGTACATACACCTTGCGATGAACTCAAAGATGTCATTGTACTTAAACATTGTCAAACATTTTTGGTATACCGTAGACTCTGCAATTAGTACTGAAGAATTCTTGCACAATTGAACTGAATATTCTTATAATATGAATTAGTAATAATTAATATGAATTTATATGAATTAATTACGAGTATGATTTATATTATGTGAATTAATAGTAATATACGAATGTTTATAATATAATATGACTGCTACGTTTCCTTTGCTCATTTTTGATTAGATTATATTTTTCTGTCGCCTAAAAGTATTTTATGATTGATATTTCATATTAAATGTTTTCTATTAAATCAACTCTTTGTTCATTGAAATATGGATGAGATATAAATATACAACAAATATTTATTCAGTTAGTTAGTAATAATTAGTTATTAGTGGAATTGTGTGCAATTACAAATTATAAATATTGATGAATTTTCTTGTACAATCGATGAATTTGTCAGTAAAAGAAGTGATGTTCCTTAAGTAAATTTTATAAACTACAAACTCTGTTCTAATTAATAGATCAACTTATAAATATAATTATATATAATTATAAAAACTGTGTTTGTTACAATAGAAATCTATAAACTACAACTTACATAAGTCTACAAAATAAAATTTGTCAATTTCATTTCTTCTTTTTAGAAAAAAAAAAAAAAACGATCTTTTATAAATTGAATTTTATTGATAGAGAGTTACTCTGTTACCTTAATTTAATCACTATCATATTCTGAAATTATCGATCTGAATAAGTACTGCATATGTAAATACTTTGAACACGTACAGAAAAATTCTTTGTAACAATAACAGTATTAGCGATGAAACCATCTTGTAATTTAAGAAGGAATTAATAAATGGGGTAATCACGTTAGATGATCTTTAATTGAAGATAATAACGACCTCGAAAATTATTTGCGTTACAAACAAGGAACTTGTTCAAGAAGGTTAATTCTCCGTCTTGCTTTAGATTTGTTTACAGTATATTTGATTATATAAAATTTCTATGCTCAATTATCACACGAAATAACCCAAACAAAAATTTTACCACAATAATATCTCAAATTCTTTTATCTCTGTTTATTAAACAATTGTACAAAAATTCTATGTACCTTTAATTATTATCATATGAAACTTCTTAAAATTTACTTCTTAAAAGTAACATACTTTAATTCTTATTTTTCCAATTGAATTTGTCCTTTAATGTCAATTTGATATAACAATAAAAAACTAATATAAATAAATAGTTGATAAATACATAATAGATAAATAGATGAATAGTTAATATAGATGAAAAAATAAATAGTTGAATTTGTAAATTCTTTTATTAATAATAAATGGACTAAATTTCTACTCAATCGCGTATAAGATTCACATATATCTTGCAGTCATATAAGTGTTCAATTTCATATCGTGAGCTTATCAAGGATCAAAAAAGTTATGGAACTTTTCAATTTAAAACATGGATTATGGAACTTTTTAAGGGAACCATTTTTATATTATAAAAAAAAATTTAAAAAAAACATTTCATATTATACGTTTCAGTGAGAGCGAAATGAGAAGAATATTCTTGAAAATGAAAGTTTCAGTTTGGATAGATCTTATATAATATAAAAGTAAAAATTTTTTATTGTACAGGAACAGATATTCATATTCAAAAAAGTTTTCAACCATTATAACGAACACTGAATACTATTTAATGACTGTGTGCTACTACAATATTAAATTCATATTCTGAATATGTTATTTGTTTGTAAAATAAATTCGTGTATAATTCACAGATCAAACTTTGTGTTTCTTTTTAGAATGAATTATTATAAAGTCAAGGATATTAATCAATACAAATGTGATATACATTTATAAAGCAATGTAATATTTGTGTTTTAACAATCATCGTTGATTAACTGATAATTCACATTAATTTACATTATAGCCTTACAGTTTAATTTGAATTTTCAATTATTAAATGACCTATAAAGCTACTTTAATTTATGGAAACTTATGAAAACTTTTTTAATAAACGTTCCAAAATAACTTGCTTCCATGGAATTTTTATTATATACATTCTAAAATATCTTCAATATCATATTTCATGAAAATGTCTGTAAGGATAACGCTTCTTTTCATAAGAATTCCACAGGAACAGATATTTTCTTAGATGAAACATATCAGTTCGAACAGTATTTCTTCAAGAACAGGGAGGATGATTGTTTATTTCGATCCCTGGATCTTATCTTGTCTAATTTCTGTCTAATATTAAAATCATTTATTTTGCATTTTCACTTGTTACAACTACATACGTTCGAAAATAAAAGATTATCTTTGATCTTCAAATAATAGACGTATCTTCGAGAAATATAATATTATGCATTATTGTGGTATAATAATTATAAAGCAGTATGATATTTACTTATATTGTGAAATAATAATTATAAAGCAACTGCCTCTTTATTCTAAAAACAAATATTGTCTTCAACTTTAGTGGCATATTTTGTTATCAAAAATGTCAAAAATGTCAGAAAAATAGATGTCACAAAATCTCACTTCTGTATTTACATGCTACAAAATAATATAACATTTTATAAAAAAAAAAAATGTATCAAAATGACACAAGGGATGGATGAGAGTTAATTTTTCTGTACAATGAAGTTGCTATACGTATTTTTACACAAAGTGATATATTAATTTTGCTTCTTCGTTTACCATAAAATAATACAATAGGTTTTTTTTTATATATTTCATTAATATTTTCCTATGATTATTATCTAACTTTTTAACTTTTATTTTTTTCATTTACAAATAAAATGATTAAATTTTGTTCATAATAAGAAAATAACTAAAATGGATTTAATATAATCAATGTTTTATAAAATATGAAATTGTATATATGTATATATGTATGTATAATTGTGTCACCAACGATGAAAAATTGTCAATATCTTAAACTGTTATAATTTTATAAAAAAAAAAATCATATAACAATCCACGTGATCTCATTTTAAAGCATGAACTTCACTTTGACAGTTCTGACAGTCCTTTTCAAAAATGTTTACATCATGTAATGGATGGGATAATAAAAGATATTCTCACAAAAATACGAACGTTTCTAAAAGTATTGATAAATTTTTTTCAGTGACCTTGAAAATTCATCACAATCTTGCCAATTGAAATTTTTTCTTTACAACGATCCTTTGAAACTTACTCTTATAATTTTTTTTCGCCATTTTACGCAAAGTTACAATAGATTAAAATATCGACAATTTTTCATCATTAATAATGCAGTTATGCACTTATATTTTTCTATAATCTGAAGACGAGTAGTTAAAATAAACAAAACATCTATGATCGTATTGGTACAATCAGTTATGCTTCGTCATATGTATATCGTTAAGCGGTTAATACTTTATGATAATTTCGTCAATGGACAAAGATATTTTATTTTCAATCTGACAGTTTATTGAATTTTCATTTCGTAAGTTCAGCTTTAAGCGCCGCTTGAGAAAAAAAAAAAAAAATCGAAGCTTCCCTTGACAACCGATAGGAAGTAGCATCTTCTCGTCTGACATTCAAACTTATTCCACTTGACACTGTGGCGAACGCTTAAAAAGTCCCCAGTTGCATACAAAAGCAGATTCACAAAGTAAATACTTACGTAAATATAACACACGCGTTTATTATGACGTTCATTAATGCATCGAGCAAGCAAGAATTCTTCTTGCCAATCGCGGGCTCACTTTTACACTCTGCACTCAACGTTTCACTGTGTTCTTTACAATGTATCTTTGTACATCCATCTCATAGAAATTCAGTCATTTAGAAGTTCACTCTAATTCGAGATCAAATTCGTCAGATCTTCTCGATTTTTTTTTTTTTTTTTTAAAGTGAACGGAGAGAATACATATTTCGAGAATTGCACGAGTTTGAATTTTAAAAGTCTGTAATTCTGCGAAAAATTTTCACTGCAATTTAGCCGGTTTTAGGAAAATAATGTGACGATTGGTTTGTTTCTACACTTCTTTCTTTTCTTTTTACTTTGTACGCGGATATTGTTCGGCACGAAGATCGTGAAACGACTGAGATATTCTGACCATTACCGAGGGTCTACGTTCATCGTCCACTTCATCTTCTCGCACGTGTGCACTTGTGTTGTGCCGCTTATAAATGGAACAAGACGTCCTGAGAGTGCTTTAAGCCTCGCTAAATGGGGATGTTTCACGCACACTTTCTTTGTTTCGTGCGACGATAGCTCGATCAACCCCCGAATTCCAACCAAATCCTGGGAAGCGAAACAGGGTTAATGGTAATTGCATAAAGAATCGTTGTTACGTAAAAGTTGTGCGAGTAATTGGGGCGAGAACGAAACGGACCGAGAGTAAACGTGCAAGTATAATGAGAGACTATAATTGATCTTTTATCTTTAATCTTTCAATTATGTTATGACCTTCCTTCGGTATTAGACAAGAAAAGGGAGATCTTTACCTCGGTTAGTTAAAACCATTGATATTAGATTTGTTTTTGTAATTGTCAAAAACACGCGACTGTTTTAATAACGTTTATTTCTATTAAAACAGGAACATGATTATTTATACTTGTTCATCTTCAATTATTATTGCTTGGAATTTAATTAAGCGTGAATGATAATGTGTAATATGTACATAGGTACATGTACATTATACATAATATGTGTCTGTATATTATTGCACTACATGCACTGTGTACAAATACATACAATTGTTACATTATACTTATTATGTATATTTAATTAACTTCAAGTAATAATAATTTTTTAAGCAATAATTTTTCATAGTAACGTTTCCTTTGATTCAGATGAAATTTCGAAAACTAAGCTCATGTTAAGGTCATAGTGTACACATTCATCTGTTTGAAAATGCTATTTGCTTTGAGACTTTTTTCGAAAAAGCAATTTCTTTGAGAACTTTTTTTATATTGCACTTTGTAGCCGACTGAAAACTGACTTTTTATTCTGAAGATTTTTTCTACAATGATTTGCCTGAATTATCATGGATTATTGTCGGAATTGCCCGAGATATCGTGGACCCTTGAAATTAATAGAAATGAACGCAGATCTGACACAAATCTGACTATCCAAAGATACAAAAAAAAAAAAAAAAAATTCGAGTTAAATCATTTTAAAATTGAGGATTCAAGTTGAGTAATTTCTACGTGGTAAATCATGAAACTATCAGTCGTAAGAGTTAAAAGATGAGCAATAGAACTGTAACTTTCATATTTACGAAGCCGAGAATGTGATTTAAAGGTACGTACATGCAACGTTTACGCGCAGTACATACATCATACATCACTATTTTGGACAGTGTCGGTGATGCGCATTCTAACGTAAATATTTGTATGCTGTTTGTGCTCGCTCTGGCTCTGACGTGCGATTACAGTAACCTGTATAAAATTAGCACAAGGATAATTACTAAATCTTCCTTCCCAGAAAGTACAAATTTTGTGATACAGAACATGTTCAATACAAGTTCAAAGATCAAAAATTGAAAAATTACTCAACGAGTTACGTTATGTTTGTTGTTTTCTTTTTTCTTGTTTTCATTTTTCTTTGAAATTGAAACAGCATATCTGGGCATACAAGTCTCTTTTCGCTGCCAATTTTTACGTTCTGCATAACATCGCAATTCCTAGACTTAGCAATTGCCAATGTTTAGTTGGAAAATTAAGCAACATGAATATTCCATTGTATTTACAACTTGATTTCGAAATTTACAACGCAGATATTTACATGTTACAAACCAATTGTAATTAATTATAACTAATTTGCTATATAATAATCAAATAAATAATTCTAAATTTTAATAGTACATATGCAAAGCTTAAATATCTTCTTAGTTTTAATAATAGGACTATAATATTCTAATTGTTATTAATCATATATTCTAATATTCTTATTATTATTAATCATTCTTATTTATATTATTATATTATTATATAATTAATATTATATAATTGTTATTTATGTTATTATAATTATTATATAATTAATTATTAATTATTATTGCAATATATCATAGTTTTTCATATTTGTGAAACACTGTTATCAAAATTTCTTAGTTAACATCTATAGTAGTAATTAAATGTGACCAGATAAATGTGAAAAGACATCATTCATGTCTTACAACGTGTACATGCTTTTTAATTAAAATATAAAATATACAAAACACATGCAATAAGCGAAATAGTAATTATATATAAAAAAAATATTTTTACATGAGCATTCTTCAGACGATCCTTTAAACATTTGATATTTCTTTTTGTTGTGTCGCAGGAAAAATGAATGGACCAGCGACGAATGTGACTTCTTTGCGGACCTAACTTGGTTAGGTGAATGGAAAATTCTTCTGGCAAAGGTTAAGGGTTACAAAGAACGAACCTTTGGCTGCGGAAGCTCTCGACGCGAAGGTTCCCCGATTCCTTGTGTCGAGCTCTACAATAAATACGAGAATGAGGTGCTTTCAGCAGGATTTTTACCGAATCATTTAATATATCGAAACATTTAATTAAATATCTACAATATCTATGAAACATTTAAAAGTTTAACGATCAAATATTTATTTGAAATAAATGCTTTATCTAATTCAATTTTTTTTTTTCAGTTTCTGTTTTAAATAAGTATCGATACATTAAGTTTTCGTTAATAAATCAATTATTTTTTATTATTTATTATTATTATAATTATTATTTATACATGATTAAAATGTATAATAGTAAATTTTATTATTATTAAATTGCTTGCTAACGTTTAATATCTTTGTGTTGTTTAATTTATTTAATTATTTATTTTTCACTCGTATAGGAGATTAATGTTGGCCAAGAGATGATAAAAGAAGGCTACGCCGAGCCAGAAGAAACTCCATCATCGACAGCCTCCTCGACGTTGTCGCTTTCCACGCGGAGCCGCCATTATGATGAGACCGGTATTAGTCCAAGTCCTGTGTCTATTTCGCCGAAGCCAACATTCAGCCCTGAAATGTCGGCAAACACTTCATATAAATCGGATTCGGCCATCGAAACGCCAAATGCATCATTTATGAGTCTCGAAACGTCATCCATTCCGTGTCGAGCATCAAGCCCTTCAGTCGAAGAAATTGATTTGATAACGCCACAGGTAAGTACAACAGAATTTTCAATAATTTTTTTTTTTATTGGAATTTCATAAAGCCTTTTTTATTGGAATTTTGTCTGAAAATTGTTGGAGCTTTAACTTTAATTTAAATGATGGTTCTTTTTGGTAATTTATTAGTTATTATTAATAATTAAACAGTTATTAATATATACTAACTAATATAAATATATTATAACTAATAATAACTTAAGATTTATATTTGAAATATTATGGACATTCCTTTTCACACGTCTTTTAATTAAATTTCTTTGTCGTCAAACACAGTCGCGAGTAAAGTTTAAAGAAAGCAGGGTAACTAAGTAATTAAAGTAAAGTGACCAAAGAAAAAAAAAGTAAAGTTTATGTAAATTAGTATCAAAGAAATTTCACGAGTAGAGAAATGTTTCGAAATTTTGTCTCGCCTTCTGAATGTTACCGTCTCACATTTCTTCCGATATCTTATATCTTTCTGCATATTATCGCATTTTGTAAATCAGTCCCAAAGATCTAATTAAACACAGAAGGTCGTGAGAGACGTCGAGAAAGTTGCGGCAAAATCCACCACACCGGAAGTCCATCGTGCTACGAGTCTCTGAATAAATCTCCGTGAAACGAATCCAGCCTAGAAAGTGCGCGGATGCTGGTTGTTTTTTTCCTTTCTTTTTCGACACGTAGCTCGCCTGCGGTTAACCGTTAAATCGGCGAAATACATCGCAATCGTTAACAGCATCTGTATCGATTTCTTTCAGAAACCAGTCAGACCGATCGAGGAGATCGATCTGGTGACACCGGCGAAGGACGAGACGGAACGTTTCATCGAGAACGAGAAGGAAATTAAATATCGAAACGGGGCTGGCAATCAGTCCGGGAAACCTCGGATTCGAATGCAAATCGACAAATTCTCGCGAGTCGCTCCAGCTGGCTACGAGAGCGATCTTTCGGACGCTTCAGACGAGTTGATGCTGGGGTAAATCGACAGAACCCCTTCTTCTTTTTTTTTTTTCTCTCTCTCTCCATTACGCTTTCTTTTCTTCACTTTGGCCTCGTAGAATTTAGAGACATGACGGTTTGGCGAATCGCAATAAATCCTTGATAGAAATGAAAAAAAAAAAAAAAAAAAGAAAAAGAAGAAGAAAAACAGAGAATAGTAGAACATATGCAACGATTGAAACCCCTTGCTTAAAGATTCTCCTGGCAGTGTCATTCGCTCGATGCTAATATCAGTGAAAGATTTATCCCTTTATCTTCTTGCGATGCATTCTTTTTCTTCTTTTCTAACATCTCGACAATTCTCGTAGAAGAATTACAAAAGGGAAAGCGATCAAGTTATAGTATAGATCAAGTTATAGTTTTTATATATGTGTATTGAGTGCGACAGAATTGAACTCGAGAGGAAACCTGAGAGACACTTTTAATAGTAGTTAGAGAATCGTGCCTGTTTAAACTAAATATATAGATTCTGTTGCTTTTGATTTTTTCTTTTCGTTTCTCAACGTCTAATTTAAAGATCCGTCGAACCCTCATTTATTTAATTGCCAAATACTTTCTTCTATCAAACTAATTACTAATCGCTAATTTTTTTTAAGATACAGAGGATTACTGCTTAATTTAAGATACAAAGGATTACTGCTTAATTTTTGCAAGTGATGCTCTCGCTATTTTAACGGAAGAGTTTTAAATATATTTTACTTACGCCAGGCGAAACAGATTCTTTCCTATATTTTAGAATTTATGTTTTCTTTGTGTATACTTTAAAAAAGGTACATAATAGAAGGAGAATCATAACGACTTAACAGCGACGGAAATTAAATATCCTAAAGGCAGTTACTACTCTCGTTACGTGATAAAGTTTAAAAAAGATGAAGCTCTTCCTTATTCCTCTGAGTAATCAGTCCTGCTTGGCCATTCTTGAAATGTGCATTACTTCCTTCAGAATACGTGCGCTATTTAATTCACGAACAACCAACGCAATAGATCAATGCAAAATTGTCATTGTATCTATTTTGAAATTTTATTTTATTTTGAAATTTATTTTTTAAATACTACACATTATCTAACAGTGCTTGTGGCAATAAAAATAAATATTTAGATATTTCAGATAATAAAGTGAATGCAGTGAAGAGCATAACTGTACCAATGACAATAAAACATTGTCGACAATTTAAACTGATGTACTTTTGAAAAAGGAGGTCATGTAACAGTCCATTTCATCCCATTTTGAAACGCAAAGTCTCTACTTTGACAGTCGTGAGCCTATTTCTTTTGAAAATTATCAAAATTCAAAACAAATTTTTGTAACTAAATCTACCATGATTTGACAATCTTGAAGATTGAAATTTTCTCTTTATAACGAAACTTGCTGTATGATTTTTTTTTTGTTTTGTTTTTCAGTTTATTGAGCTTTGAATACCAAAGTTAATAAAAACGACAAAAATCTTATTATATTATTATATAATATAACATTATATTATAATATTTATATTATATAATATCGAAGTTAATAAAAACGACAAAAATCTTGTTATATTTCATCATCTGTTCCTAATGTTCAAAATTCAATAGAGCGATGAAAAAGAAAAAGAAAGGAAACAAACTGCTGCATAATGCAAAATCATTTCTGGAGAAAGCAAACCTAAAACAGAGATTTCACATTTTAAAATGAGACCAAGTAGATGTATTATACAATTTCCTTTTCTTTTTTTACAAAGTTATATCTAAATTATTTAAATTATCGAGACATTGGTACAGTTATATTAATCACTATATAAATATTTCGCAATTATTTCATATTATGTTGTGTTGCCTTTTTATCATTCTTTATTGTGCTATTTTATTACTGTCAAAGTAACCTAGCGTTGGCTGAGCGAGAGTTAAAGTTGTTCAAGATTAAGGAACCGTGTGCCTTAAATCGCTTCGTACATAAAACTATAAACATAGCATGTAAGAAATTGTTGCAAGTATTAGGAGATGTTTAAACATTAAAAAAGAAACTAGTTAGATTGTTCTATTTTTATAAGATAATTAACTAATTAATTAAGCTCGTCCTTGTGTCAGATTGGTGGGAAATAAACGAGTGAACAAGTAGGGAGAGACAATCGTTTTAGGAACTTGTGAATTTTTCTCAACGAAGCGTAGGATAATTTGTTTTTTTTTTTTTTTTTTTTTTTTTTTTTTTTTAAATTTTTTTTTTTTTTTTTGTTTCAACATTTGATCATTTATTTTGACTAGTTACGGCAATTTTTACGGAGAGGTTCCTTTGTCTCAGAGAATTGTTTATTTAATATCTCATAAAAATAACAGTGCCATATTGGTCTTTGTATTACTCTGTTCTCTTTAACTATTGCAATCCATGCGTACTACCGGATTTATTTCTCACCAAGATGACGAGTGATACTATATTCGTTACTTAATAAAACGACTGATTCCATTGTACCTATTACATTAAGTCCATTGTTGCATCCTTAGTTTACGCATCCTTTGTTTTCTTAAAAATTTTATTTGAAAATGAAGGAAAACGAAAAGCAAACGACAAAAGAAAAAGAATCGACTTGTTGTCTCGAACGCTTTCTGACAAACGCGTCTACCGACCTAGTGACGCCGACAGATCTGAGAGTTCTCCAAAGATTGCTCGTTTTATTCGATAATCGTACGTAAGATAGGACTAAGTCAGATTGATTGTACCCGAGTAGACAAAAAAGCAAAATATATATCACCGTCGAATAAAATGATCGTTCTGCGAGCTGTCTGCATCCGTTCGATGTCATTTGACGGAACCCTAAATCGTCGTTTCCCTTTCACTTTATCCATCCGCGTCGCTGCTTTCTCGGATTACGGCATCGTGATACAAGATCGGCAATTTTTCGGAGCTTCTTGCCCACGGGTAAAAGTCGGAACCGAGCGGACGACCGCAAAAAAGAGGGGACAAAGCCCTCGACGAGCAGCAACGCCGGTGCCAGCGGTAATAGAAGGAGGAGGAGGAAGAGAAAAGGACGTTATCGGAAGTTACTGCACTGGAACAGTGAGTAGTATCTACTTTTACGGGGTATAGTTGTTCGCAGGGTATAGAAATTCAACTCGGCTGTTTCGACTACAGCGATTTCTCGTGGTTTAGTAACGGCGGTGGTGCTCGCTTTTTTTTTTTTTTTTTAGCTGATCGATTAACCGCTCGCGCTGGCAGCTGATTGCGGACCGTAACGAGTGACCAAACCGTATATACGATAATACGTCGCTTTCTTTTTGAACTCGCCAATATGACATCGCTCGGAAATAGAAATTATTGAGAAGTGATAAATTTATTATTCATTTTGCCTGGGTTAGGTACTGTAAATATACTTAAAACTGAGAAAATATTGCAACTTTAGGAGAAACAAGTTAAGTTTCAGCTTCAGTTAAAAGATAAGTCTTGCGACTTGATTCACGCTGTTTTGCTGATTTAGTTATATAAGTTGATTTGCTTTATTGATTATTTAAATATCAGAATATTGATATGAGATAATAGAGTGGACACGTTGAATTATAATTGTTGAAATTTTTCATATTCATATCGAGGAAACTTCACGATTGGTAAATGATGGAAGATTTGTGAGTTAAATTAAATTAAACTTGATCCTGCCACGTTCTTTTCGATTCAGTTACATTTTCTTTTAACGTTGAAGAGAATATAAAGAAATTCTCACTTGTAAACTAAATTAAATGTAATTCCACTGCGTTTTTTTTCCATCATTTTCGATTCAATTGTATTTTTCTGACATTAAAACATACATCAACTTTGAACAGAATACGAAAAAATTCTTAAAATGACTTTTGATTGATAAATGATTCGTTAATTAAATTAATAAACCAAATTAAATTTAAATACCTAATTTAATTTAACACTAGAACTACGATTTCGAGTCAAAATACCATTTAAATGATAATAAATAAATTTATACAGTTACGTCTTTGTGTAAACAGAAATCAACATTAATTTTGACAAAAATATCCATATTTTTAATTCAATTGCAAAAAGAAAATCTAAAGTTTGTCATATCGACGAACTATGTAACAGTTTTCTAGTTTTAGTGTTAATTCTACTACGTTGCTATCGTCTTTTATTTCTCTAAATAAATATCCCCTTCGAGCAAAGTACACAAAAATATTCTCATCCTCTTCAATTCTACGTTAAACATCTTGAACTTTCTTTTGTTTGCTGAGACGAGAGCACGATCCAAACTCACCATAATTAACTTGATTATCTTACTCTATCTCGCGACTAATTTTCCTAAATAACAGAATGACAACCGATCTAAAAATGAGAAATTAATTCGTCAATATTATAATTTACTTCCATCGTGGTTAATTATTATTTGAAGAAAGTAACGCGTATAATATCAGTTTCCCATTAAACTCGTCGGATTTTGTCCCCGATGTGTCCACGACTGTTCCTAAACGAACGGCAAAAGAAAGAAAGTGAAACGAGAGGACAATAAAAATAGCTCAAGCCGTCAATTTTCGCGTTGGTCGTAGTTGCAAACGTGGTGGTTGGTCCTGGGGTACGGTAAATAGCGGGTAAAGAAGTGCAGAGAGTAATTGCTGTCGCGTAGAAGCCAGGCCTGGTGCTAGGTGATCGGGAAAAACGAGAAAGCTGCGGCCAAGCGAAACTGTATAAAACGTGGCTAACCCGGCCTCCCATCATCAGTACGACGAATATCCAAACCGGAGCCGTGGCAACCAGTTAATCCCACGATGAACAGTCATTTGGTAAATCTCGGGTTACTCGTTACTATAAATACGACAAACACTTAATTTCTAAATATATATTTATTTTTTTTACTTTACAATATATATTTAGATCATTTATTTTTGAGATTATTAAATTATTAAAGTAAATTAATCAACCCTGACATACAAAAGGTGCAAAATAAATTTTACTTACTTATTTTTTAAAAATTCATTCTCATTACTTTAGACTCTAAATGATATTATTAATTTTTCGTTATTACTAAAATATTATTATAACTTTATTTAATTATATTAATTTAAAATTATATATATATATATAATTTTATATAAATAATTATATATATAATTATATAAATAATTTTATATAAATAAATTTTATATATAATTTATAAATTATTTAATTTATAATTTATATATAATTTTATTTAATTTATAACTTATATATAATTATATATAACATATATATAATTATATATTATAACTTATATATATAATTATATATTTTATAACATATATATAATTTTATATGTATATAAATAAATTTATATTTTAACCAGGTTATTCGTTACTTATTCGTTATTCGTAAGGTATCTCTCCGCTTTTCGGAATTAAATGCTGAAAATTAATCGTTTGTTAAAAATGTTAGATCATTCTGTGAAAGCAGATTAGAGATTTCTAACTAGTATTTTTCGATTGTACTTTTCAATTGTATCCTTGCAGAAATTATAAATTATATTTTTGTATTCTTGTAGATCACTTTCGTTTTACTAATAGATGACTAACGTACAATACTTTGTATTTTATGTTCTTTCATTCTGATCTATCATTTTTCTCCATCTCTCGATTCAAGTTCATAATCCTCGCGAAACTTCTGCAATTCACTATCAAAATATTCGTTCGAGGTACTTTTTGTTACGTCATTTATCGAGCTTACGATCGAAAAGAATTCTTCAACGAAAGGAACTTTTTAATGAATATTCGAAGAGATTGAGAAAGAATATCACAATCAAATTCCGCATTCAAATCACGAAAGAAACTTTTGTGACAACTTAATATATTCTAATATAATATTTTTAATTAGAACAATAAAAAATATCAATTTTAACCAATTTTTCATCGCTATTGATCCAGTTATGCTGATTAATAGCTCAGCAACAGTAGGGCACGGTCTAATTAGCTCAATTAGCTCAATTGCCTATCACCGGACAAAGTTGTTTCGATGTCGTGATCTTAAATTGCGAATAGCAGCCAATTGATCCGTGAAGTAACTAATAATTGTGAAGTAACTAATAATTGCGGAACGTGTTTGACCGATTATCGTGATCAATGGATCGATATGGATATATATCAAGCAAACTAAAAACTTTCTGACTGTTCAATTTTCATTCGATGAACAGCGTGACTCGTTATTTCGTTGCATTACTCGGTATCTCGGACGTCACGTTTCGATTTTCATTCGTTTCAATTTATCTCGACGTTTTATTCCTCCAATTTATTTTCGCTTCTCATTCGATGTCGTCGTCAATTACGCAACTTTCATGAAAATGTGCCGCGAATAAATGACGAAAACGTTAATTGGAATCTTCCCCCGGTGAAGTTTTGTCCAAGGGTAGCTCTCAGTAATTACGTTTTCGTTACCTTGACCCTTTCCCTCGCTTCGACATTATATGATTGCGCTTGGCGAAGTGAAATTTGTACAATTTGCTTTAACATTAAATTGTGATAATGTGCGTTTGTGCTTTGGAACAAGTGAAATTTACGTCGTCAAATATGAAGTAGAAACAAAAAAAAAAAAAAAAAGAGGAAGAAGAAGCGAAATTGTGTAAAAACGAGTGTCTCTCCTTTAACTTTCGACTACAAATTTAATTACATTAAGTGTGCGAGCAATTGTGTTACAAGTCTTGAAAGGGAGAGAGAATTATATAAGAGGATTTTAAATAAATTACGCGTTGCATATGTCACGATCGATCGATCACTTTTACTGCTCTCCCATGATGTTTAACACCGTTCCAAAGATAAATATTTAAAAGTTAAACGTTCTTAGATTGAAGGTATCTGCCGATAGGCGGGTTATTTTAACCTTTGAAGGATTTCTCGATATACTCTATATATAAAATCAACGCGGTGTGAAATGCATGGTTAATAGCACATCGTTTGACGCGGTTTAATGAAAATTAGAGGCCAACGCAAAATTATTAATTATGGATGGAAATATATACATATATATATAGTTGATTAAATATCGATATAAAATTTAAAATTTATTGTTTAAATTTTTATTTATTTTCATTTTTATTTATTTAAATTTTTAAATATATAAACTATACATGTATAGTTGATTAAATATCGATATAGAATTTGAAATTTATTGTTTAAATTTTTATTTATTTTCTATTTTTTTACTTTGTTTTATTTATTTAAATTTTTAAATATATAAACTATATATATATATAGTTGATTAAATATCGACATAGAATTTAAAATTTATTCCCTAAATTTTTATTTATTTTCTATTTTTTTATTTTCATTTTTATTTATTTAAATTTTTAAATATATAAATTATATACAGTTGATTAAATATCGATATAAAATTTAAAATTTATTGTTTAAATTTTTATTTATTTTCTATTTTTTTATTTTCATTTTTATTTATTTAAATTTTTAAATATATAAACTATATATATATAGTTGATTAAATATCGATATAGATTTTAAAATTTATTGTTTAAATTTTTATTTATTTTTTATTTTTTATTTTCATTTATTTAAATGTTTAAATATAAACTATATATATATAAATAACAAAAAAATAACAAATAATCGAAAAAACGTAGCGAGGTTAAAGAGTTACCATTAAAAAATCGAACACTTCGTAGAAAGAAGAAAATTTGGATAATTTACAAAGCAGACGACCTTACAGATTTTGATGATCTTGAAATGTATTATCAAGATTATTGTGATTCTGAACAACTGTTTCCTACACATAACGTTACCACCGCTTTAGTTTCCGTTGAACGTTGTTCAAAATTATTTTTACCAATCATTTTACTATTGATTATATCTGTATCAATATTAAGCATCGTCATTTGCAATTCTCTTCAATTAATTTATAACATTCTACTTTTTTAATATTGGGCAGGAAACTTCAGGGATTCTACAATTCTATTGCAAATCTCACAATATTGATGTACAGTCAACCCTCTTGCAACGCTTTGTTCGAAACCGTGTCGTGTTAAGCTGGAAATTTATTTTAGAAGCAACAGATGGAAATTTATTTTAGAACAGATCAGAGGAATGCGTTTCGTGCTATAGTTCGAGAGTTGTCCAAATTTATTAAGCTCTTAAGCGTTTTCTTTTATTCTGAGAATCTGTGTACTGGTGTGCTAAATTATTTCTAGGCGATGACGAGTATACTCGAAGGAAAGATAGTAAACGTACTTGCCTGTAAGATTGAGTTAAATTATAACAAAATAATCAATTTCTTTGGCGTTTCTTCGAAAAATTTTTAACTCTATTTTATTTTGTTGCTTTGAAATATTCTAAAATGTGCTAAATTTATATAATTTTTTTATACATAATATATATATATATATATATATATATATATATAAATATTCTAAATTTAAATAATATATTATATACATATAAATATTCCAAATTTAAATAATATATTATATATATAAATATTCTAAATTTAAATAATATATTATATATATATAAATATTGCAAATAATATATTATATATATAAATATTCCAAATTTAAATAATATATTATATATATAAATATTCTAAATTTAAATAATATATATATATATATATAAATATTCCAAATTTAAATAATATATTATATATATAAATATTCCAAATTTAAATAATATATTATATATATAAATATTCTAAATTTAAATACTATATTATATATATAAATAAATATTCTAAAATGTGCTACAAATATGTATAATTTTTTTACCTAAATCTTACAATAAATAGTGAATTTTTTTTCTCCATGACGAGTATACTCGACGTTAAACAACAAAATTCCATCTTTTCACGACGAGTACTCTAATAGTAATTTCTTTGTGTACAATAAACGTTTAAAGGGGTTGAGTCGTTGCATCCCTACTTACCCAGAAGTTGTCGCAATTTTTGCAATCGTGCGTTTCAGAATACAAGAAAACGGTTGACTGTACAACTAATTACCAAAATTTGACCAGTCCAGCACGGCTGTGTGTGTGTGTGATGTACCGTTGCAGACAGTAACGTTGCTTCTTTTGTGCGGTGTCTACGGTGCTTTGGCCGGACGTCGTTACATCGCCATACCGGTGGACGGGATCGACGTGATCGAGCTGAGCCCGATGGCCCCAGCCACAGCCAGGATCCCCAGGCAAACAGAGGCTTACGTTCCAGTAGCAGTTCCTAGTGTCACTCACGAAGAGCTCAAGGGTCCACGCCTGGAGAGGTCCTCCAACGCCCACATTCTCGATTACGTGGATTTCGGTGGGCAAACCGGCTCGAACGGAGCGTTCAGCTGGTACGCTGATTATCCAGCTCATCATTAACCCCTTGACTTATATATTATATCGAGAGCGACGCTCGTTGTACAAGGTCCAGGATTGGGTCTTGCGGTCTGGCAGCTGATTGCGGACCATAACGAGTGACCGTAGTACAGTAATTCGTCTTTCTTTTTGAGCTCTCGTCGGCATGACATCACTGGATAGAAATTATTGAGAAGTAATAAACTGATTATCTGTTTTGAGGAAATGTTACAATTTTTGATTGTACAAAAAATTCTCGACATGCGTGGCACGTCATTCCAGCACAAGAAATTAAGAGAGAAATTGTAAACCTATGAAATATCGATTCAGATTTTAAATTTAATTTCATCGAACCGAACCGTTGATCAATAAAAATTACATATAAACGTTTCAATGCTTTGAATGCCCTACAGTTTCAATAAGTAATGCTTAAAACCCCTTAACATTGAAAAGAAAATCGTAAGGCAAGGGGTTAACGATTATCTAGAGCAGAGGATCGAGACAAATCAACAATCTCGATTTCCAAGAGGAAAGAATTTTGTAGAATAGAATGGTATCGATTGTTTTCTTCTTCGTGTTCCTATCGAATTAATGTTAATAACGTTAAACGAGTTAAATTAAGCCTTTAATAATGTGTTCCATGAAGCACTTCAGGCGATTGTTAAACACTTGAATATTATACATTTTACATTTTAAACGTCATTGTTAGTGATCGAAAGTCTATTAGGTATAACCGATACCATGTATCGAGATCTTGATAAGCATTCGAGAAAATGAAACAGAAATATATATTCGAAGTGATCGAATTTTCGTTTAGAAGTGTTTTAATAAGTATACTTGTAGCTAAATAAAATCAGGCATATGTGAACGTAATTCCAAGTCAACATCAAAAAAATATCCTGATAAATACATCTGAATATATTGATTGTAAATGATAGATAGGAAATTATTAAATGAAATTTATGGACCATTATGTGAGACTTTAATCTACTCTGTTATCCAGTATAGAAAATCATTTATTCTGAAATTCGAATTCGTCGTCCATTAAAATTTAAGTTATTGTAGATTTAGTCGTGGAAAAAATTTTTCGACGTTTTTCTATGCCAATTTATTAGGATTTTCGAGAAAAAGATAGTCTCTTCACTTTCTTCACTGATTACAGTTACAATGTAACAGTGTATTTTGAAAATAGAGAACTTGAGCTTTTTAGTTTACGGTTTCACTTTACGAGATAGTTTTAAATATTCAGTGTCTGAATATTAATGTGAGTAACATGTTACAGTATGCTTGTGATATGTACCACTTATGCTATATATATTATAGCACTTACGCTGATATCCTGATATGCATATAAGAGGAAGGATAAGTACACTAAATACACATGTATAGTGGCGAGCAAAAATTTCTAGCCGGACGAAGGTCTTTTCTTGAAAAAACTTTAGAGACCTTAATTTTCTGAATCACGATCCCCTTCTAGCTTTATCTCTCATAAAATTCCCTCTCGACTTTCATTGCCCTTTTACGCTCGTTGACTATTTTCATAAAGTAAATGACGATAAAGGATGATGAAAGCCAACGAAAAAAAAAAAAAAAAAAGAAAAATTTCTTCCAAAAGAAGTCTTTCTACTAATAGGAGAAAAAAATCGCGACGAACATCCAGTGAGAAATTTTCGTACACCGCTATGACATCGGATCAGTATCGCCATTTAGAGTAATAATAGTTTTATTTTTCTCGGTATTGTTACATTGCAATAAATAGTGTGTGTCCCTTTGCGTCTCTTTTCTTTTTTTCTTATCGTTAATATCTATAGTTTCTTTCTTCCTTTCTTTTTCTTTTTTCTTTTTTTTCTTTTCTTCCTTTAGGTACAACGATAACAATCTCGTCGAGGCGAGCATCATTCCTATTCCGAGGTGGAATTCAATTTAACGAGCCGACGAATTTCACGAATCACGAATCTTCTTAAGTATGTACCTATATGTGTGTGTGTGTGTGTGTGTGTGTGTGTATTATATCGCGACTATCTCGTTTCTGCAAACGATAGGATCGATCGAATCGCTCGTTATTATCCTCGTCACGCTCTTTCGTCCACGATCTCACTCGGCCCCTTCGTTCTTTTCACGCTCGTTTCTCAAAGGATCTCGTAATGATCCAACACGCGACGATAATCGACCACATTTTAGGGAGGAGAGTCAACGACTTCATCGAGTAAAATGGCGGGCATAAAGTGGTCGGGTTCTCTTCATTCTGTCCCACGTTTTGGTATAAATTGTACATTTCCATGATGTTCCATGTTCGAAGATTCGAAAGACGTTAGAACGCTGTAGATTGACAAATCAATCTCGCTCGTGAATTTCGATTATGGTATTAAATCAAAATTCTTGATAGTGGTACTAGACCAATTGGTATTAAACCAAATCAATTACCTGACATTGGAGCTAGACCAATTGGTATTGAACCAAATTAATTATCTGACATTGGTACTAGACCAATTGGTATTAAACCAAATTATCTGACATTGGTACTAGACCAATTGGTATTAAACCAAATTAATTATCTGACATTGGTACTAGACCAACTGGTATTAAACCAAATTAATTATCTGACATTGGTACTAGACCAACTGGTATTAAACCAAATTATCTGACATTGGTACTAGACCAATTGGTATTAAACCAAATTAATTACCTGACATTGGTACTAGAACAACTGGTATTAAACCAAATTATCTGACATTGGTACTAGACCAATTGGTATTAAACCAAATTAATTATCTGACATTGGTACTAGACCAACTGGTATTAAACCAAATTATCTGATATTGGTACTAGACCAATTAGTATTAAACCAAATTAATTATCTGACATTGGTACTAGACCAATTGGTATTAAATCAAATTAATTATCTGACATTGGTATTAGACCAAAGTTTTTTAGGAGTTAGAAATAACTTATGTCCTACGAATGTCCTCTTAAAATTGCCAGTTTAGTCATTATAACATGATCATTATTGTAACTAAACTGTTCCACGGACCGAAGACTTTGATTTTGTTTTAATGAAAAAATGACTTGAATCGATTTCTGAGCAGTCCAATTCTTTTTTAATTTCGCCAAGTGCAAGATTTGCAAAATTTTTCGTTTCAATTCAAGTTTTCAATTTAAAACGAAAACGTTTCATTTTGACTTACCTCTCCTCCTTACGTTTATGAATGTAATAATTTATTTATGTATATAACAATCTGTAACATTAGTGCAACGTTGGTGTAACATTACGCTAATCGAGCAGTGATAACATTGACGTTATATTTATATTTTTCGATTTATGCAAAACATTGTTACATCAGGAATTTTTTGCTCATTTCTTTCTTCTCGCCGAGGTATAAACGAACAAGCATCGATCGAAATACAAAAGATCACGATGCTAAAGCAGAATTCATTTGTATAGAATAAGAAGAGAATATTGTATCAGATTATTGCAAATGAAACGACAGAATTTATAACGTAGCTCTTTTAAAACTCATACTAATCAAATTTCAAGTTCATAAACTGAACGATTTTAATTATTACAATTTAGATTGAAATAATTTTATAATCAAAATCCCCAGTCGATTATTATTGACAACTTTTTGTCATTCATTGTTCGTGTTTACATTTTCTAATTTAAATTTCTCGCCTAAATTCCTTGCCATTGTCTCTTGGGATACTTGCGTGTCAATGTTACGGGCAATTTTTACTCTATTCGATCATAGTTTCAAGTTTTATAAAAATATATTCAAATTCAATGATTCGTCTCGATAAATAATCAATGAAACAATTGACAAAAAACAAGCTTTAAATCGATGAGAAATAAATATTGATTAAGAGCATTTTTAATCACAAGATTTCGAGTGATTTTGCGCACATGTAAAATCCGCTATTTCGTATACAACAATCTGATAGATTTATTATATTATTACAAAGAATATTGTAAATTGATAAATTAAGCTTTGTAATTCGAATGATATTCTAATTTCACGTGTACACGTAGCAGAAAAAAATCAGTTGTACATATATACAAAACGCTACTGAACTTTTACTTAATACAGTAAATTTTCACGAAGTGCCAACATCCTAAAAAACTTTTTTATTTTTTATTCAGAGTCCAAAAAAAAACTCTAAATTAAGATTCGTGATTCAGAACAGAATCTCTTCTAAAACTAAGAGGAATAAATGAAAATTTATATTAAAATCGAGGAAGGAAAGCAACTCTTCGTAAAGGTCACAATGCATTTTACACTTATACATCTTCGCTATAATTATTCGATCGATTCGAAACAGATCGTAATTTGCCGACAAAGAAAAAAAAAAATATATCTTGCAAGACAATACAATTCGATTGAAGACTAATGTAGAGTGTTTTCACAGAAAGAAAGAATAAAACAATCCTTCCAGCGTGAAGAGGATAATCCAAGCGCATCATTCTCATCGTCATCCACCATCCCATCCAGCGTTACATCGAGATACTTAAACGTAATTAATGCAATTAACATCGAGTTTATTAACGTTGCTTTCTGTAAATTCTGTTCTGTAGCTTCTGTTCTATTTCATTATTCGTGTACTCCTTTCTTTCGGTATGCTTCTTCAGTTCACAGTTGCTACACGCACGTAGAACAGGCCGAAGTTGATCAAAATGAGAATTCAGTGCAACGGTATTACAATCGATTGGCTGTTGGATGAAGTGTGCAAGAGATAGGACAACGAACAAGACAAATGCTCGGCTCCATCGAGTCTGAACAAATTGTGTACTGAATTCTTATTTCGATCCGATTCGTCTCGGTTTACCCCGCGATTCGCACACACCTGCATTTTGTTTGATCGAGGAATTTAATTGTTGCTAGAGGGGAGACGACCTTTCGTCATTCTCCATGATTTCGTGTCCGACACTTTGCTACGGTTCGACATTCAATACGGAGAGATACGCGAACGAAATTTGTCCACGATTAGCTTGACGCTGAAATTTATTCGTCGTCAAATGTCAAATTTATACATCAGTATAAAACTGGAATCATCGATCATTTTGAACGAGACGTTGTATGAACTGTTGCCAGAGAGCAAATAGTTCGTATCGATCGAGGAAATTTTTTTTGAGTTATTGATCGAAAAAGTACCAAATAATAGCAGTTTCTCTG